AATCTCAGGTGCAAAAATGAAAAAAATCTGACAACTTCAAGGGTCCTTCAAGGTATCACACCGGTAATTGACCAATCAAAATGAACTTAGTCAATTGTAGTTCCATACATATAAAATTAATTTTTCTTTCTTTTGATAATTTTTTTAATTTTCTTCCAGGCTATTTTTACAACTTTGGTACCTGTGCCTAGTAAATTTAATGTACTTTGTAAATAAATACAGTTTTTTGACAGGAACTATTTTTTTCAGGGCATAGGAGGCTACTTCCTGGGGTGCACTGGAGCTGTTTATAAACACATTGAAAACACGTGGATTTGAGGGTAGCCCTGTTTGCAGATGGAAAAAATCAGAAAATGCCGTGTAGGTACCCTGTTTTTTGGACTCGGCTAATGAGAGAGGTAATGTTTTATACTTCCTGCTAAATATTTTTTCATGAATTAATTTACCTGATTTTTTAAGAATTTTTTTCCTATATAGAAACATATAGTGAAAACAATTACCGGTGTGATACCTTGAAGGAGATTGTGTAAAATCATCTGCATCAATATAAAAGGTTGTTTTAATTTTTAAAAGGCATATTTCAACAAAATATGTCATTTTATGAACTTTCTGTGTGAAAGCACATATTTTAAAAATTAGAAGTAGGGTTGAATTGAATTTTTAGAGATTTCTGTGAAAAATACTTATAATATATCATGTTTTACCCTCAAAACTTTAAATTATGACTTTCAAAGTAGGATTATGCATCTGACATGTAGAAAGAAGTTAGAAAATGTTGGTTTTTTATTTTAGATGACTTTAAACTATGTGCACCACCTGACCACAGTCAATTATAGTGTCTACAGACTTTGCCGTAAAAGTACTCTAGGCTGATTTTTTCAAGAAAAGACTAATTCTGGGTTTGCCAATGAGTTTTCCACAAAAGTGACAACTGCGATAAAATGTGAAGGAGTAAAACATTTTTTCACAGAGTGATAAATTTTACAGAGAGTGGATTTACTTTCATTTTATTCACCTGAAGTGATGCATGTATTACAGCAGTGGAGGAATATAAATAATGAAATGAGGTAAATTTGTCTAATAAAAAAAATGCACAAGTAAAATTTATTTAGAATTTTTCAAAAATAAGAAGCTTATGACCAAAAAATGCATAAATACTGTCAGGGCATGAGAGTGAATACTTATTCAGAGTTCTAATCATGTAGCACACATGTAGTACAGAATGTCACTTAGCACCATGGTATGCCTGTTATGGTTCTCTGGACTTTTTGCATGCTTACGCAGCTGACATCCATGATTTTTCAGTTTGTCGGAGAATGTGTTTTGTCATGTTAGCACTTTTATGTAGGTTTTGACCCTCTCTTTTAAATTAAGTCTCAGTCAGGATGCTTATTTCAGCATGATTTGTTAAGCATATTAATATACTGAAATATTAATAAATTACAAATTAAAGTGATGAAGAAATTTGACATATTTACACAATCAAAATATCAGAATAACCATAATTCAGCTAATAAAGTGTCCTGTTTTTCTTATGTCACTTCCTATAAATTTTATCAGCAGTTTTTGTACACCCACCCACCCCCAAGAACCATGTAGGATGGCCTGATATTAGTCTTTTTGTTGCATTTTTTCACATTTGAAAGTGTTAAAACTCATAAAAATGTTTAAGATTTATATTTTGGAATTTAAATGTTGAATTTTTATGTAAATTTGGTGAAACAAAAAGCTGTAATCTTGAATTAATCATGCAAATTCATCAAACACCTTTGGAATTCCTGAGTAATTCAATGAAAAGAGGATAATTATGCATGTTCAATTGGAATTTCATGGCTAATTTGTGTCTGCAGAGAAAGCCAGTTACATAAATCCAAACAATAAATTACATCTGAATTGTTTCCTCCATTTTCTTATCATCAAAGCAAGTTTAATGGAGTGTCAGAGCTGTCCAGATTCTCCCTAGGTGCTGATATCATTTGGACTGCCCTGTGTTACAACACAGCTTTTAGATAAACTTCTGCACATCAGCTTGTAGACAAGTACCTAGGCTTTATTTGGAACATAAATTGACCAGATGCAGATTTTATTATCAGTCTAATATTTAACAATTTCTGTGAATTCTGTCATTCTTAGGAGGGCAAAATGCAATTTTGTTATGTAATAATTGCATAATGGTCTCAGACTTGTGAACTATTTTTTGTTTGTTGTGAAGAACAATGTATATACTCTCCACGGATAAGAAATTGTTTGCCAGACTTAGTCTATTAATGATGAAATTCTGCTTCAAAATATGCACAAAAAAACTTCTGTCAGAGTGCTCTGTGTGTATTCTTGACTGCTCTGGAGTAAGGGAGATAAATGCATATATCTCCAGCAATAAGGGGAATTAGATCACCAAACTTAAGGATGTTGGTGGCAGTTATTTAAGAAATCTCAGGTGCAAAAATGAAAAAAATCTGACAACTTCAAGGGTCCTTCAAGGTATCACACCGGTAATTGACCAATCAAAATGAACTTAGTCAATTGTAGTTCCATACATATAAAATTAATTTTTCTTTCTTTTGATAATTTTTTTAATTTTCTTCCAGGCTATTTTTACAACTTTGGTACCTGTGCCTAGTAAATTTAATGTACTTTGTAAATAAATACAGTTTTTTGACAGGAACTATTTTTTTCAGGGCATAGGAGGCTACTTCCTGGGGTGCACTGGAGCTGTTTATAAACACATTGAAAACACGTGGATTTGAGGGTAGCCCTGTTTGCAGATGGAAAAAATCAGAAAATGCCGTGTAGGTACCCTGTTTTTTGGACTCGGCTAATGAGAGAGGTAATGTTTTATACTTCCTGCTAAATATTTTTTCATGAATTAATTTACCTGATTTTTTAAGAATTTTTTTCCTATATAGAAACATATAGTGAAAACAATTACCGGTGTGATACCTTGAAGACATGCATGCACATAAGTCATTTATGCTCTCCCTCATGAAGCTTGAATACTATATCACATGTCTATACTTTTAAATAAGCAGGATTGGCTTCCTATATATATATTCATTTATAGTTCCTGTATAATTAATAAAATTAGTAATGGTACATAAGTAGACACTCCCAGAGATTTCTATTTATAGTTTGTTCTTCCTCTGAAACTTAATAAACACAACTTCAGAAGTTTCACTTTCCTTTGACTCAAGCTAATTAATAAATCAATGTATCACCTTGACAAAATGACATTAAAATTTTTGGACTGTGAATTCTTTCTAGATGTCAAAGTACATGTACATACTCAATGCCATAAAGCAGTTATATTTAAACCATACTAACACAGGATCAAACTTCATGAACTTCAGATTGAAGTTCAAAAGCAAAAGTGCTCATAGGATTGTTACTCCTTCCTACACAGTGCTGAGTAGAACTATAATGTGCCATATATTGTATTTTAGCTTGATCCTAGAGAATAGAAGTTTGGCATAGCAAAAACTATTACTGCAATTAAATAAAATTCAATTAAATAAAGGAACTTTTCGGTGTTGGAGATGTTTTAAGTCTATGGGTTTGGGACAATGACATAATGATAGCCACATTATCACTTGCAATTTTTGCTGATAGAAAGAAGCATGAGTTAAGGGGATGATAGCATAAAACAAGGCATTGATCACTCTGAAAAAATAAAATTAAAGACATTACTAGGTAACCTTTGATAACAGTACCCAAAAGAGTACTTCAAACCCCAAAATCTTGTGAGTTTTGGACTATATCAAACTTAGTACACAAAAAAGAGCATACTCAAAGAAAGATACTTCAAAAAGTTGTGATAAAACCTATTACATCCTATAAAGCTGGAAGGTCGTTATGCTTACAGTTATGTTTTTCTGTCTCTTAGAGTTCCCCTAATGGAACTAACTGGCCCATATTAATGGCATACTGAATGGAATGCAGGATCTCCACTATTTCACATGAATTTTTATACTGCTATCATCTAAACTTGACCATGTCCTAAAGATTTGGTTCCCAATCATGATCATTTGGTTATAAGACCAAAAAAATAATAGTCTTGTTTCCTGCTACCGCCTGGAAAAAATAGGGTAGGTAGGTAGGAAAATTATTTTATTTTTTGGATATGAACTAATACAAAACCAAATTAAACATGTCATAGGTCAATATTATCTTTTAAAATTAAATTTAATGTCTTTTGATGCACAACTCAAGTGGTATTTTATGAAAGTCCATATTTAAAACATTACAATTTCATGAAATACCACTTGAATATATATTTTTTTCAGTTTTGGAACATGAAATTCCTGAAATTCCTGATTTTTTTTTCCAAAACTAAAAAAAGACTTTAGGGTCGGGTGCAAAAAAATAGGGTCGGTTGGGTAGCAGGAAACAAGACTATAATTTTTTTTTGGCCTAAATAGAACATTGAGCCAAATTATATTTTCAGCTTTCATTTCAGAACGGTATGTCATTTCTGCATGGACAGAAATATTTCTGACTGGACTGAAATCAAAGTTCTTCTGAAATCTGCAAAAGAATTCATCTGATATTGGACATAAAGCAGTACTCTTACTGTAAATCCAATAAGTCCTGTACATGTACTTATTTCAACATGTACGGGATGAGAAAATGCATCTACACAGAAATGCATTTACATTGTTCAAAGTCATAACACTGCAACTAGGATTCAGTCTGACAGCCATTGTTAAAGCTGCATTATTCCATTTGTTCAGTAAGAAACCCACTCAACCCTACTTTTAAAACTGCAGTAATAAATTACGTGCTAAAACTTCATTAGTCCAAGTTTTGACCCATTAAAAATGATCTCACTGTAAACATGTAAAAAGGCTACTAGTTTTGTGAACTAATTGGCTAAAAACATATGAAAACAAATTTACAACTTCCTCAATTTCAAAAAGAAGCTTAATGTTTACTTCATATTCCTGTCTGTAGCACACACATATATATATATATATATATATATATATATATATATATATACTTACATCTACTTCCTCTGTTTGGTCATTCAGATCAACCACTAGTGGAATTGGCTGGGGTCGACTGGTCAGATAGTAGAATGTTGTCGTGGTTACTGCTGCCAAGGTCACAGCACCTGCTCCTAGAAACTTCAAGTAGTCCATGTTTCGTATCTTGTCTCTGAAACATATAAGGATAAATATTACATTGTTTGTTCTGGTTATGTCAAAAAAAATCTTCAATTCGTAAAATCTGAGAAAAAATTTGACTGCACAGAACATATTAGAACATGCATGTGTACAACAACAATTTGAGCTTTCTAATACTTGAAATATCATATACTACAGATTATGCTACATCATTGTAACACACAAATATATACATGTAAGTAAGAAATAAAAATAAATTCACTCTCACTGAAAACCTGAACACACTTGTACACTTATCTAAAATTCTTCGCATATTATACTTGTGCAAGGAAATACCCAAACTCCTTTTTATTCACTGAAATCCGGAACAGATTCTTCTACTGGTTATCTAAAATGTTGTGAGCATATTGCATGAACAAGGAAATCTCCAACCTCAGTCCCCCCCCCCCCCCCCCTCTCTCTTTGACAAGCCTTATCAATGAATGTGATCAACATCTTCATCATGACATCAAAGAATTGCTCTTCACTGTATTCTCTTAATTATATCATAGGGCCTCATTTCATCTGATAATCACTAAATGGATAAAACAGAGAGAAAAAAGAGAAGGAATCTTGTCTTACATAATCAATAACCTGTACGCCATCGATCTGCTACTTGAGGCTGCATTATCATTTAAAAAACTGAAGATTTAAAATTCAAAATCTAGCAAGACTGTTCTCCTTCGACATGCTGCACAAATTTGCTATATTTATATATTTAAGCTTGTGAAACATGTATACTGAAGATCAAAATGATTACAAGCTGTTTAGTTGAAACATGGTATTTTATGCATATGTTCACTTGAAAGCAAACATAAATTTGAGATGGATCACTATATGAATTCCATTTCAATTTAACAATTGAATTTTTAGATGATGACTTTGCCAACAAAGAATTATGGATCAATCTTTCTGAAGGACAGAGCATATAAAATCAAGAATGGATAAACATTTCTCTTTGTGTTATCAAAATTCCTCATATCCAAAATACCGGTACCATTAAGTAATACATCACTGATCATGCTGACTAAACAGATTTAGTACATATTTTACACATAGCAAGTAAGTAGAAAATTAAAAGAACATATATCTATAATTTTACAATTCATGAATATGAATTTTTATTCAAAATACTGCATAATGTAGAGAGCCAACATTTTGCAGCATCACAGCTAGTCCATCTTACATATATATAGAAGATTTCCAACAAATTCTGACTCATCTGTATTAGACACTGCACTTACATCATCACTATTCCAGCCATTGTAACTCTCTGTATTAGCGATTTCTGAGTGTCGGACATTTTTCTTTCAAGATCAATTCTATCCTCACAATGAAGAAAAAAAATCTAATGGCCAAAGACACGTAAACTAAATGCAGATGAAGGTGAACTATATAGAATATAAATCCTAACAGACATGTACACTGAATCACAGACCACTGACAAGGTTCGATCATATATCTGTCAAGGCCAGGCCTCCGTGATAAAGGACTGAGTATTGAACAAGCTAAGCCAAACAGTCACATCCATAATGTACAGCAGATCAAGGTACATTGTACCACAATGCACATCAGGGGTAAGTCAAATTATATCATTTAAGTACTTTACTCACCGATTATTGTTTTAAAAGTCATTGCTAAACCACATGGACTTTGGAGTTCTTAATTTTGTGGTTGTGATGAATTGCCATTTCAAGATCTCCAATATTGAGAAGTCAACTATCAGGTGAGGGACATTGGTACAAAGTACACAGGGTGAATAACCAAAGAATGGTCCTTAAATCTCAAGGCAATGAGTATGGTCTGGCAGAAATGGGGTGATCCATTGCGTAAACATGCATGACCCATTCATGTGTACTTTAAACAGAAATCTTGCTGGTTCACAACTTTTGATAAGCTCAAGGTCAGGTACTGGCTGGAAGTCTCTGGGACCTTTTATACAAGGACAAAAGGCATTTACATGCAGCACTATCACTCAGCTAGTAATACCAATGGGTAGATGCAGTATATATAATGATAAATATACTTTCTGTTTTAACATCACTATGGAAAGGGCAAAAACTCCTGATTGACTAGTGCCATACCTCTGAAATTATTAGTTTTACACCTGTTCCAATAACTGATGTAGAATACGTAATGAATATGAAACAACAGATCCTTCTAAGGAATATATCTTGCATACTCATCGACAAAGATCTTTAGGATACAATTATTCCTGCTTCATAGCCTGACTAAGAAAATTAAATGAAACTAAACCCGATAATAATAATCAATAAACTATTGATTATAAAAAAAATTCTAATAGCTAGTCTACAATCAACCAATGCCAATTATCACACCTGATACACAGGTCTCCATGTCATTGCATGGCTGTACGTATGTATTTGATACATACAATGCAGCTGTTCTCTTATTTATTAATGGGTAAACAAGTGATCAAATTAATCTGTATACATGGACTATACATGTAGTACTTGTGTGTAAACATTACAGCAACTGTTTACGTACCTCTGCGTTACCTTAAATGACGCACTAGCTGTTATCACATATAACTATAAGCTTACTAATACTTATTACATAACAGTTATAATATATCCAGGATATGGAAGAGTTGATGGAATCTTTACTGTTGATTGAGAGCACATTCAATTTTGCAGATTAGATTTTGTGGTACATTTAAGACCCACTCATTTTGTTTACAGAGATAGTACTATTATGGCATATGCCACTTAATATATTCATGCTGACATACAGACCAACTGTACACTCTTCTTTCTAGCAAAATCTAAGGGTACATGAATTTTCTATGATCATGATAAATTGTAATAAGTTTCAACTTGAGGGATATGTGGGCCAAGCACTGATCATGCTGATATAAATTGCTATTGTGAAAATTAACATTCCAAAAACATACAATTTATCATATTACTTAACAAAATTCAAGTTGATTTTTTTATATTACCAGGGATCGACATTAACGGTTGTCCGATTGCCCGGGACAAGTAAATTTTCAGTTCGGGCAAGTGAAATTGTCGACATACTTGTCCGATTGGGCAAGTAAATTTTTCTCCTAGAAGTGTACATATTTATTGAGTTTACATTGATGTATAAATAAAAAAAATTAATTGTACAGTTGATTTACACTAGGTACCTGACTGACATTAAATTGCATTCGGAATTCCTTGGTAGTGTTTCTAGATTATACCACCCATTTAAATATCCGGTTCATTATTCTGTTTTCTTTCGTGGTAAATACGTTCTACGTCTATCTATGTTAACTTCATATTAATTAAGAAATAAGATTATTTATTCACTCAAAGAATATGTGACACAATGTATCCCGATCAAGATATTATGTTTCATAACAACTATCTTCCTTAAGAGTTGCTTCACAGTTATCTCTGAAAATCGTGATTCTCAAAGCTTTCTACATAAAAATAAAATTTTGAAAATATGGATTTTATTAAAAGGAAACAGAGGGTTATTGCTGCATGCCAGTGTGTACGTGTTAACAGGTTATATTGACAAGGACAGTGGTACATATTTATGTACAAAACACAGCATCGAAATTTTTTTCATATATTTTAGTTTGCCAAGTTGACAGTAGTGTATTTGGTCACACTTTTTCCTATCATAACATTTACAGTAATAAATAATATTTTTCTTTGCTAATTTTGGGCAACCAAGTTTTGCTTTCGGACAAGTCAAAGTTTGAGATGACTTGCCCGAAGGGCAAGTGAATCTGAAAGTTAATGTCTATCCCTGATTACAAAAGTACATGGCTAACAAAATACAGTATGCATAATTCTGTTAATCAGTGGCGGATTTAAAGGGGGGCGCACCCGGCGCGCGCCCCCCTAAAATTGTCAAAGTTAGCGTAAATCATAGTTTTTGTCGAGAAAATGTAAAAATGTCTACTTGGTAGACCTCATTTTTACCCTACAAAATCTCTAAAATCCAGGAGCTTCCGGGGGCTTCGCCCCCTGGTCCCCCACCAGGGCTTCGCCCTGGACCCACTGGGGGCCTCAAGGCAGCCCCCAGACCCCCTGCCTACTTATTGCGCCCCCCCCAACTTCAATTCCTGGACCCGCGCCTGTTAATTATATGAAATAACTAAACTTGTAGAAACAATACTTTTTCTCCCTTGAGTGTTAGTAACATACAATTTAATTTAATATACTGCTAACTAATATGAAGCTCATAAATCAAAAAGTCTCCATGTCATACACCAGTTCATGCAATGATGATCCACAGGTGCCAGTTACCATGCATAACAGATAGATCAGAGGACATATTCTACAGTTTACTCTCCACTGAACTTTCAGGACATTGTATATTTAATGTTCAGCAATGGTGAAAGTCATTTAAAAGCACTGATTTCATTCTTTGTCTTTTTTTAGCCTACTTCACTATGTTAACTCCTTAATTCATTGTAATAAAATTTATTTTGAATTCATGAAACAAGATAGTCTAGGCCTTTTTACAGCTCACTATATTTTCTTTCTGTGTAATTTGACCACATAATGAGAAGACCGATAGCAAGTCTCAGCCATGTTTTCCTTTTTAAAACGAAATGTATTCACCAAAAAAAAAAGTGAAGAACAAGGAAATTTCTCATTTCAGAATATAATTATTTTCTTCCTAGCTTTTTAAAAAAAGCTAAATTTAAAAGAGTACAAACAAGGAAATGTTATCTCAAAATATATGCATACAATCATTTGAACAAGAAAATTACCTCTTGGTCGTAAACAGCTTAATCCTTCAATACTGAACATTACAGTAGCAAAACAACCATTGGTGATTTTGTAAAGGGACTAAGCATTCATGTATTTGTCTTATGCATGAGTAAACATACCCATTTCAATAACTAGTGTCCTGTTTATTTCAAATATTCATCAAATATTACAATGTAGATCCCTATTCTTAGGTCTACAATTTTTTTTTTATCATTTTCAAAACTAATATTTAACATTACAAACACTACAACTTACTAAAACTAATACTCAAATGTTACAAATGTAGATCCCTATTCTTAGAAAATTTTGTAAACAAGATCTACTATTTTTTTCTATCATTTTCCAAACTAATACTTAATGTTACAAATGGGTAAAATTAAAACATTTCAACTTATTCAAACTCAATCATAATGAAACAAGTAAAAACTTGTAAAATATGCAGCTAGAATATGTTATGTTAGATTTAAAAAAAAAATACTGAGACTTTCATTTTATCTGTTAAATTACAGAACGCTCGTAGTACCTGTGGCACCAGAAAATAAAAGATGAATTTCAGATGACTATAAATGACTATGATCTTGGGGTTGAATCTTTCTTACTTTGTTCAAGACTATAAAAATGCTCATGACATGATCCTTTTGCTCCATTCTTTGTTTTCTTGTGAAGCAAGCTCAGATGATAATGTAATATTAAAAAGAATTCATTCTACACTAACGTCTAATGATAATAATGACTTGTTTCTGCATGAATTCTTCATTCCTTAATTCTTGTGGGGGTTTTTTTTTTAAATCAGATAAATTCTAAATTATCATAACAATTAAACTTAGTTTTTAAGAGAAGGGAGAAAAGAATTTTGTTATGATAATTTACCCATCGAAAAAGGGAAGAGGAAATTTTGAACTTTATTTGGAAATTACAGTACTAGTCAGTAGTTTAAAAAGGTTTTCATGCTGGCATCCGTTAAACACTTAACGATGTTGTAAGAAAAGTTATAATTATACGGAGAATTCCAGGAAGGAGATCACTGAGAATGACAAGGATAATCTGATTCATACTTCTTAACTCCTGTTGTCAGAAACTCTATCTTGATTTCTATATAAAAACATTATACACTGCGTGATACTTGTAAAGACAGCCTCGTATTATTTGTCAACGAGACAGAGATAATTCTAGTTATTTTATGTATCGTCAACCTCAACTCAAACGGGACCATATATTAAATCGTAATATGAAATGATTCAATAATTTATGTATCTTACCTGTAGATATTTATTTTTTAGCTAAAAATAATGACTAAAATTCCCCAGAATCTCTGGCATCAATATTCATGCTGCGCAATCACGCTGAATCTGACCTCACAACATCAGCCGATACTTCTTGGGGTAGTCGGGATTAGACAATTTGAACATCGGATGTCTTTCCTGCAACCGGGAAAAAATGCATATTTTTCTTCCTGCGTTGGAAAATTATCAATCAGATGAGATATCATTTCGTTTAAGAGCAGTTTTCCGTAACAATTTTTGACAGGCCTGGATCTTGATGAAATTTATCTAGGCCTATATGTTAGGTATTTAGGACAACCCCCCCCCCCCCAAAAAAAAAATAAAGAATAAATAAAGAAAGAAAGAATGAATGAAAGAAAGAAAACTATAAAATTATGAAATATTGTTCCTAAATCACAGTTCCTTCCAAAACAAATGAAAATTCAACGACCACAATTGTCATGATTGTGTTAAATATAGAACTTGCGCATGTCTATTTCAATTCAAAGTTAAAAAAAGATGTTGTTCGTTGGTTGAGGGAATACAGTTTCAATTGATTATAAGAAACTCAAAACTTTCAAACTTTTCAGTCTTATTTTTTCCCTTTTTTCTTGAAAGTTTTAATAAGGATATATCACTAGACAGTATTAGACCCGCGTTCCTGGCATTATGAACACAAGGTGCTTACAAAAAAGGTTTCATTTTGCCATTTAATTAACAATTAATGTAGAATCGATTTCTTTGTGTGCCCCCCCCCTCCTCCCCCGTCTATCGACTGAATTTTTTTTTTTATTATGTGTACTAGGTATTTTGGCTTGAACCTATCAACAAAAAAAATAGTATTCTGACTCTTTTCCAGGATAAAAAAAAAATTTAAATTTAGCAGCATTTGTTTGGTATGGTTTATTTTTAATACAACCCCCTTTCAAAAAAGAGATAAAGAATCATGTTCACAAAATAAAAAAAAAAATGAAGTAATTATCAACTTTTCGACTGTGGGGAGTGCAACCTATAGCCAACCTCACTGTCATGAACTTCTGTGATACTTTGTAGAAAAATAAACAAAATCCAGAGAGAAATGTTCTAACTGTATCCATCTCAAAAATTGATCGATTCTTTTTTTTTTATTTTCCATGAATCTGTTGTTGTTTTTTGTTTTTGTTTGTTTGTTTGTTTGTTTTTTTTTTTTATTGTTTTTACTTTATTGCATATATGCAGATATGCATACACAGTACATTTCGGAAAGTTTGTTATATAATGATAATTTTATATATCATACATCGCTCCGAACATTGTATTCTCCATCAGTGAATAAGTCCGAATCTTCTTTGATCAACTTGTCCAATATAAACAATAGCCGCCATATTCCTCTGGTGCGTGTTCATTGTGCATTGTAAATTTGTATTGTTTGCAGAATTCAAGAAATTCACTCGCCTGTTCTGCATCACCATTCAGAAGTGCGTAAAAATACTTAATATTTGCTATCATTTTTGAATGTTATTTGAATTATGTTGCATGAGCATATTATGATGAATTAGTTATTGTGTATTTTACAAGTTTGTTTACGCCAACCCGATACTGATATGTCACTAAACAGTAAGGGGATGGTATTATGATGATAAGCATTATCTTTGATTTTTCAAAGAAGAAGTACTGTAATGCAAAATAAGTGTAGCCGTTTTACTGGTAGCAAATATTTGCCAAGTATCAAATAATAAAATTCTCTAACGTTACAGGTTTAAAAAGAATCTTATTAGGTAAATACAATAAAAGGATAGATATTCTACCCATATGTAGTGGTTTTTCTAACATATACATGGCTACATTCCACAATATTTACAATATGAAACAATGACCCATATGTAAATACTGGCAAATGCAAGTCATAGAAAACGAAAGTCAAGTGTGTAAATAAATATGTCTGAATCAAAATTTGTGCTTTACAGATAGCATATGTCACTAATAATTAGAGAAATAAATGTAAAAAGTAACAATAAATTCATCAAATGCTCAAATTTTTATACTGTTTTGGAAGGAAAAATGGGTGAATCAACAAGTAATTTTTACATGTTTTAAACTAATCTCGGTGGAGATTCGGCTGGGCTAGATATTTGGACTGACGCCCACCGAATCTCGGGACAGTCCTTCATAATTCATGTCTGGAAATTCAGCCCCAACTCAAAATATACTCAAAATATGGCTCCCCTGATGTAATTGTTTATCTCCTCGCACTAAAGAGTTCCTACAGTCTGTTTTCTTTTTATGTGATACTGAACCTCTACTGTGGCTTTTTAGTAATTTTCATAGAAATAAAAACAGACCATAGAGGAACTCTTTAGTGCGAGGAGATAAACAATTACGTCAGGGGAGCCATATTTTGAACGGAGATTTTAGTGAATGTTTTTATGGTGGGATTTACATGCCTAGACGGTAAGCAATGTGAAAATAATAGTGACAGAGAGTTAATTAAACAACTAAATGACTTAATTGAAGCGAACGACAGTGTCGCCTAGGTGAATAATTCTTGATATAGCCGGCCGAAGTTGGGGCTGAATTCCCAGACATGAATTATGAAGGACTGTCCCGAGATTCGGTGGGCGTCAGTCCAAATATCTAGCCCAGCCGAATCTCCACCGAGATTAGTTTTAAACAGCATTTTTTTCAAAGGCATACAGTGTTTTCCCCAGAAAATTTTCAATGCATGGGGGGAATTTTGCTGAATTGACGGTGCGCGGCGTGTCTTGTTGAGTTATGTGTGCCTGTTTCTGAATTTATATTTAAATGAAAAATACAAATTCATTCATTTAATATATTTTTTTTAAATTTAAATGATATATTTTGAATATATTGTCAATTTAACTTTTAAAAAAGCTAAACAATTGAGTTCTCTTTTATAAAAATAGATCTAATCACAAAAAAATTGTTCTGTTTTATATTCCTCTAAAGGTCACTGTCTTTTTATCATGTTTATGTGCTGTGTTATTCTTGCTTTCTACAAACTGAACAGGCCCCTAGTGACCCCCCCTTTTTAGCTCACCTGAGCTGAAAGCTCAAGTGAGCTTTTCTGATCACCCGTTGTCCGTCGTCCGTCCGTCTGTCCGTCCGTCCGTCTGTCTGTCCGTCCATCTGTAAACTTTTCACATTTTCAACTTCTTCTCAAGAACCACTGGGCCAATTTTAACCAAATTTGGTACAAAGCATCCTTGAGTGAAGGGGAGTTTAAATTGTTAAAATAAAGGGCCAAACCCCCTTACAAGGGGAGATAATCAAGAAAAGACAAAAATAGGGTGGGGTCATTAAAAAAATCTTCTTCTCAAGAACCACTGGGCCAGAAAAGCTGAAACTTATGTGGAAACATTCTGGGGTAGTGTAGATTCTAAATTGTTAAAATCATGACCCCCGGGGTAAGAGCGGGGCCAAAATAGGGAATCCAAGTTTTACATTGAAATATATAGAAAAAATCTTTAAAAATCTTCTTCTCAAGAACCATTGGGCCAGAACTGAAACTTACGTTGAAGCATCCTGGGGTAGTGTAGATTTTAAATTGTTAAAATCATGACCCCCGGGGAAAGGGCGGGGCCACAATAGGGAATCTAAGTTTTACATTGAAATACATAGAAAAAATCTTTAAAAATCTTCTTCTCAAGAACCACTTGGCCAGACAAACTGAAACTTATGTGGAAGCATGCTGGGGTAGTGTAAATTCTAAATTGTTAAAATCATGACCCCGGGGGAAGGGCGGGGCCACAATAGGGAATCCAAGTTTTACATTGAAATATATAGAAAAAATCTTTAAAAATCTTCTTCTTGTGGAAGCATCCTTGGGTAGTGTAGATTCTAAATTGTTAAAATCATGACCCCTGGGGGCAGGGTGCGGCCACAATAGGAAATCCAATTTTTATATTGAAATATATAGAAAAAAAAATCTTCTTCTCAAGAACCACTTGGTCAGAAAAGCTAAGACTTTTGTAGAAGCATCCTGGGGCAGCGTAAATTCTAAAGAATTCAAATCTTGACCCCTGGGTGTAGGGTGGGGCCACAATAGGGAATCCAAGTTTTACATTGAAATATATAGGAAAAATCTTTAAAAAATTTCTCCTCAAGAACCTCTTGGCCAGTAAAGCTGAAACTTATATGGAAACATCCTAGGGTAGTGTAGATTTTAAATTGTTAAAATCATGATCCCCGTGGGTAGGGCGGGGCCACAATAGGTATTACAAAAAGATCATCTGGTGAAGAACAGCAGGGCCAAAGTTATTCAGGTGAGCGTTGTGGCCCATGGGCCTCTTGTTTTATTTACTACATTTTTTTTTCTTTTGGATGTCCCTACTTTTACAGACATTTTTTAACAAAAAGGGTGAACATTATGTAGCACCAATGCTTACATGTAAATATTGTGACAACATATTTAGTACATTGGTGTCCGATTTTCAGTTAGCTGTTGAATGTAGGTCAAGCGAAGTATTTGCCCATAGTTCATAGAGTAAATAAACAATGATAATATTTATTGGACATGTTTATTTTAAGCATATTTATTCTAAAAAATGGCTTTAAAATTATTTGTTTAACTAATGAATCATTTTTTATGTCTGAACATCAATGCTATTTATAGAATGACCTGTGGATGTTGGAAAAACCCACATGTGCATGTAACAAGTGTATTACTTTCACCGTGTGTACTATCTGACAGCAATTAATAAATTTTTCATGCTTTTAAATATTTTTAATCAAATAAAAGCTTAATACTTAGTAATATATCAGTAAATTGCAATAAACATAAATAGAGAACTATTGCATCATACCACGTACCGCGATTCGCATCGAGTTCACCACAGGTGCGCAACATGTGTACGGTACACGCTGTGATTCTAGTGATTTGAATTGTTTTATTGAAAGATTAATAACTGATAACAATTTCAACTTATATCTTCTTCTTAAAATAGTCTACCTTTAATAATTCATGCATAGCGGGTAGCATAGCGGCAATGTGTGATGCATGGCGGGGGATCATGAATGCATGGCGGTACCGCCATGCAGAAACGGTCTGGGGAAAACACTGGCATATTCCCAATAATTCCAATCCGCCAATTAGTTTTATTGGGTCAACAACAGAGGAGTTTGCTTGATTTGATACAAAAAATAGTTCAAAAATAGGAAAATTGGGGTTGTTGTAATTGCAATAGTAATTGACACCTGTACCATTCATATTTACGGAATTTGAAACATGTACATGTACCACTAATTTAAAAAACATAGAAATACATTAAACAACCAATAACATATGGAACTCCAACCATGTAGGTTGATGCATGAAGTAACAACAAACAGATATAACGACCAAACTTTATATTTTTTTGATGGGTGCCATGCTTTATATATTATTAAGTTTGCCATTGTGTCTGTCATTCAATAGAAGATAACATTCAAATTTTTTTTATTTAGAATGCCTCCTAGAGGAAAGCAGGTTGCTAGAAGAGGTCGAGGGCCCAGGTGAGTATTTAACATGGTCTTCAGTGCATTTTTTCCTCATTTCTGCCAGTTTTATCCATTTGTTCCTCAGAAAAAAATACTTTTGCTCCCAATGTATGTTGAGAACAAACTATAAATTTTTCTCAGACTTTATATACAGGTAGAGTTTGGTATCTTGACATTGGATATGTTGACAACCAGGGATATGTCGACATCCATCTGCAATCCTAACTGTATTTACTGACAGACTGACAGTCCTTCCAATGTTGAGATACTAAAGTTTCGTTTGAATCAGTGTATGTGATTGCTATAAACTGAAAAAGAAAGTTTGGTTCAGCATGTCAGAGTTTTTCATGACCCAAAATTACAGCTCAATAGAGGCAGTTATCCCCAAGGAAATATCATATTTTCCAAAAATTTACTATTTTTATGCCCCCGGATCGAAAGATCCCGGGGGTATATTGTTTTTGTCCTGTCTGTCTGTTTGTCTGTTTATCTGTTTATCTGGTTGTCTGTTTGTCTGTCTGTCTGTTGTCAACTTTAACCTTGCCCATAACTTTTGATTGGTTGGAGCTATGACTTTCACATTTCACATGTGTATTTCTTGTGACAAGACCTTTCTTTGGGTACCATTATATTTGACCTTTTGACCTTGACCTTGGAGTTTGACCCACTTTTGCAAAATTTTATGAGACTTTAACCTTGGCCATAACTTCTGAACAGTTAGTGCTTGGGGTTTCAAACTTCACAAGTGTATTCTTTGTGACAAGGCCTTCCTTTGGATACCAAAAAGTTTGACCTTTTGACCTTGACCTTGGAGTTTGACCTACTTTTGAAAAACTTTAACCTTGGCCATAACTTTTGAACAGTTGGTGCTTGGGGTTTCAAACTTCACATGTGTATTCCTTGTGACAAGACCTTCCTCTGGATATCAACCTCTTTGACCCTTTGACCTTGACCTAGGAGTTTGACCTACTTTTGAAAAACTATAACCTTGGCCATAACTTTTGAACGGTTAGAGCTAGGGCTTTCATACTTTACATATGTAATCCTTGTGACAATACCTTCCTTTTGATACCAACCACTTTGACCTTTTGACCTTGACCTAGGAGTTTGACCTACTTTTGAAAAACTTTAACCTTGGCCATAACTTTTGAATGGTTGATGCTAGGGCTTTCATACTTCACATATGTAATCCTTGTGACATCACCTTCCTTTGAATACCAACCACTTTGACCCTTTGACCTTGACATAGGAGTTTGACCTACTTTTGAAAAACTTAAACCTTGGCCATAATTTTTGAATGGTGGGTGCTAGGGCTTTCATACTTCACATATGTAATCCTTGTGACAAGACCTTCCTTTGGATACCAACCACTTTGACCCTTTGACCTTGACATAGGAGTTTGACTTACTTTCGAAAAACTTTAACCTTGGCCATAACTTTTGAATGGTTGCAGCTAGGGCTTTCATACTTCACATATGTAATCCTTGTGACAAGACCTTCCTTTGGATACCAACCACTTTGACCCTTTGACCTTGACATAGGAGTTTGACTTACTTTCAAAAAACTTTAACCTTGGCCATAACTTTTGAATGGTTGCAGCTAGGGCTTTCATACTTCACATATGTAATCCTTGTGACAAGACCTTCCTTTGGATACCAACAACTTTGACCTTGACCTTGATGTTTTACTTACTTTTAAAAAACTTTAACTTTCGCCATAACTTTTGAACAGTTGCAGCTAGGGCTTTCAAATTTAAGATTTTTTATCTTTTGGCCTGGATTTTGACTTGCATTTGAGAAACTTTAACCTTCGCCATTAGCTGCCATACAGGGGCATCAGTGTTTCACAAACACATCTTGTTACAATTGTTTTTAAGATTTCAGTGCAAAATTCTTCTGAAAATGGATGTCTAAGAAAAAAATATGTTCATTTACTATTACATACTAATGAAAAATAGGGTCAGTAGGTAGTATTTTCTTTTTGTTTTTTGTTGTTGTTGTTTTATTTACATGATAAAAGAGATAACTACATTTTAAGGACAGTTTAAAGCTTCCAGTTATAAAATAGTTTTTTTTTCTTTACTATCTAACCCCAAAGCTATAGAAAAGTGACCTTATGACATATAAACTGTAATGTTTAAAGGAAAACATGCAATTTTCTGCATATATGTTAGGATTTTGCAATGAAAAAAATATTTGGCTTGGGGCATAAAATTGTGATCAGTCATATGACTGTAAACTATCATATTTTTTTTTCTTAGGCCAAAATAAGGCTGCTTTTAAAATATGAGTGAAAAATCACTGCATGTGTTATATACAGTGTTTGAACTTTGTTTCATTTGTTACTGAAGAATATATAGTAATGTGCCTATATTATGAATGACTATAAAAGATATGTTACTTTCTATAGTTCACGTGCAGCAGCTGTAAAGAAAGACTCCATAAAACCTATTGACGACCAAGAAGACAAGAAAATGGAAGAAGGTGGTGATGATAACCTGGTGGATGTTGATTTTACAGTGTCTGATCAGGAGGAGGAGGAAGACACCAGTAAGGGGGAGGATACAGGTGCTAAGGAAGAGAAGGGACAGGAGACAACAGAGGCCACAAATAATGAAGATAAAGAGAATCATGCTGGTTTGACATTTACTGATATAAAAATACAGTTGAACTTTGTTATCTTGAACACCAATATCTCAAATACCAGGGATACTGTATGGGTACTTAAAAAAGCGGGCTTCATATTTTAGAGGCTTTTGCGCAGACGATGCGCTAATTCATAAATACCGCTAAGAAATCATTTATATATACAATACACAGTACGGACATGTGTAGCACTAATTCATGATTATGCCAACAACTCCATATCCAGTGATTGCGCTAAAGTTTGAATACCCCAATTTATGTACACATACAGTATGTCAAAGTGAGTTTGCAGTCCAAACTACTTATTCTTTATGCTTTTACGCTGGTTGTCTCAAATCATCGGATAACTTAAGGTTTAATCATGATCCCATCAAGTTCAAGATAACGAGGTTTGACTACATTAAACTGTAAATTGATAACACATTTTTATGTGACTTTGGTAGAATTTAATGTTTATTTGCCAAGACATACTTTATTTTTGGGAACAATAAACTTAATTGTTGATATTTTGAAATAATGTACATCAAAGTTTAAGAAGATGTGTAGTTTCCTTACAACCTGTATTTGGCAACATTTCAGATAAAACAGATATATGATTAACTATCGCAATACATTTTGTTTACCAACATGCAGTTCTAAAGTTGTTTTAGCATTTGTTACAATACAGAAATACACATAAATTGAAATTTAAAAACATTAATTTGTTCCATAAGAAACATTTAATATGCAGTAAAACACTTATAACAAAGTGCAAGGGACGGACATTTTGCTTCATTATAAATGTAATTTGTTGTATCCATTAAGTTAACAATATATTTTAAAGCCACAGGGAATGAAAATTACTCCACTGTATGGGTCTATTCATTAAAGGGATGTTTGTTAAAAGCATGTTTTACTGTAGTAAAACAGTGTCTGTGATAAAAATTTCAAGAAATCTGTTGAAAAGTTACCTGTCTATGTTATTTATGTACATTGTAGTTTCTTAATTGATTTACTTACAACTTCTTTGTATATACTTGATTGATTTCATTGATTTCGTTATTGATTTACTTACAACTTCTCTGTATATACTTGATTGATGTCATGATTCAGATGAAATTGAGCTGAAAGCAGTGGAGTTGATAGATGAAGATGAAGATCCTTTGGAGGAAGAAATGAAAGAGGAAGAAGGCAAGGAGGGAGAGGAAAAAGAGAAGGAAACCAAGGAGGGGGATAGAGAGAAAAAGGAAGGAGAGGAGGATAAAAAAGAGGAAAAATCTGATCCAGATGCACCAGAAAAAACACTTCTGACACATGGTAAAATGGATATATACAGTACTTTACTTATTAATGGGATATTTTGCTAGCTTTATGGATCAGAATGCCTTTGTTAATATCTAAGTATCCTTTAAGGTAAAACCTAAGAGTACCCATGCCCATTGAGTTCCATTATCGAGTGTAAGATCGAAAGGCTTCTGAATGCAGCTTATAGGCTTAATTTTAGGAGATTTTCAGAAAATAAAGTTTTTCACTATGTAGCTTTAGCATTGTGATATTTTTCAGTTGTTAAGGGTCCTGTGCGAATCTCTGTTTTGACCGTAGCTGATCTGAGTAACAGAGATCTCCAGTCACTGATTCAAAAATCTGTCAAGGCAACTCTGGACTATGATGATCGAAAAGGGTAAGCTTTATGAATGGAGCAGTTCATTAACCCACCCCAAACCAAAAAAAAAAAAAAAAATCTGAATATAAAGCAAGTCTGGTAGCAATTGATTACTGTGGAATCATCATTAGGGCCCCGCAAGGATTTGCGGGTGCCCTATAGTAATCACTCTGTCTGTCTGTCCGTCTGTCTGTCTGTCATTCTTCCATCCACAAATTTTCTGTTTTTTTTCTAATAACTTTTTTTGTAGTGGACCAATTAAGTTCAAATTTTGTGTGTTGGTTGAAGAGGCAGTATGCCATATTTTGATGCTAAGTTTGGTTCTCTGTGTCATCCAGTTTGGAGCTGGGGTGGTGGGGTAGATTCCTTAACTTTACATTAGAATGAATGCCAGGGCAAAGAGAGATAATTGCTGAGAATGTTCCTATTGTAAACTATGAAAGTTGCAACTAGTCCCATGGGATTAATTAAATTTCCTCTTGAAGAAAATCCAAAGCATTATCTGTTTCTGTCAAATTGAGATTAATTAACACCTCTGTCTGCAAATGAAGTTTGTTTTGAAGTAAAGGTCAATTCTGAATGATGTTTACATTCTCTGAAATGTGGATTTAAATAATGTTTATACTTTATTTTGGTAAAATATACAATGAGTTATGATTTTATTGAATTCTAAAAACAAGATATACATAAAGATATGTTTTTTTTATTTTTTTGTTTTTATTTATTAATTTTATTTATTTATTCATTTTTTTTTTTTTGGCTGTCATATGTAAATTCAAGAAATCTATTAATTTTAATGGGTAGTCCAATAATAATCTCATTCTATCATTACTGAAAGAGTTCTGATTGTAAACTTGGAAGAAAAGGATAAGAGAGCAGTACAATTAATCCCTTGGGATTAATTATCTTGTCTGGGGCAGAAAATTTTCCAGGCTTATCTTTATTTGTCACTTTAAGATAAAATTAACCTTTGTCTGCAACTGATGTTTGTTTTGAAGTTAAGGTCAAGCCTGTGTGATGTTTGAAAACACATGCTTTATTCTTGTTTAAATATACATTTGAGTTATTATAGATGTGATGTTTTTTACTGCCTTATGTAAATACAGGGATACTCTTTACAGGTTGTTGGATATTTAGGAATTATCTTGAAATTTTACAAATACAGTTGTTATTGCATGTTCTTCTTCATATATTTTAAAATTTTTGTAATCAATTAAAATTCTCATTCTGTAAGCTGCACCCTTATATTTCTACCCCTCGGCGGGGCCCTTGCTGACTGGTCAGTTTTCTAGTTGTTTGTTGGGGACCAATTTTTGTGGATTTTGTAGGCCATCTTTACCCACAAATTTACATCTTTGGCAATATATCAATTCATTGAATCCTATATAAACGAGTTACCCATGAAATTACATCGGTATGAACCAGTAAAATTATGCTTTCCCCAAACATTGACCCCCCATGAATTAAAATGATTCCAAAGTACACATATTTGACTGATTTTCTTATTGAATTGTATGGATTGAAAGAAAAATGATACAGAAAAGCTTTTGGTCAGCTAAGACTAGAAAAGCTCTTGGTAAATTATGATTTGTGATTTCAGAACAGTGACCATGTGGTATAATCCTAGACGCAGTCGGAAGGCCATTGACATCTTATCTGGTCTTGCCAAACTAAAGCTGACTAATGATGAAATCAGTGTGGCCTGTCCTAGAGCTTTTGCAGCATTGTTGGGTAATACATATGATTTCTGCCAAATATTAAGAGAGTGCAACAAAGTTATATATAACTTGCAATTTTCATGGAACAAAGATGTAGAATACTTTCTCTTCCAATATGTACCAACCCATCGGTTATAATGATACTTTGCCAAGAGCACAAAAACAAAATTCTTATTAAGCACACACCTGAATTTTCTAATGTTATTTGCCTATATTTTAACTTTTCTGTGAAATTTTCTGATAATATGCTCTATAAACAGCACATTATACTCTCTATATCTGAATTGCAGCCACTGAGAAAAGAAGAGAGAAGTTCCCTAATTTCGATGGAGGTAATGTTTGTTAACTTGTAACACACAAGAATAACATCATAAAAATATGCCTTACTCACATACACAAAAAAAGAGAAAAGAACAAGGATAGAAAAGGGAAGATAAAAAGAAACTAAAACCACATATATCTAGTAGTTTGTCAATTGAACTAATGACAACATTTAATATGCATCCAGATTTAATATTTGCCAAGAAAGAGATGTGAATTTGATGCAGGTCAAAATAATGCACTGTGTTGTGAGTACTACAGAGAATTCGAGGAATACACAAACAAGAATAAAATTCAGAACGAAATATTTTATTATGGGTCAAAATTCAAAGGGTATAGAATGAAAAGTTCAAGTTCAGAACCCCTATTCCCTCTTTGAACAAAAAACTGTATTTATTGAACAAGGAATAAGATATTGGCATCCAATAAACAAACTGAAGGTGATGCTGAGATTGTTTCCTGATTAGCTGTACTAATTATTTTAGTATACAAAATGGCATCAAATAGAAGACTAATGTCTTAAAAAATATTTATTTGTCATGGAGAAATTTTGCTTACAAAATGTGAATGCCACAAGTTGATTGCTTTGAGGTTTTCAGCAAATAAATAACTGGATATTGCAGAAATTTAAATGTATTCTATTTATAGCTATAGCATCTCGAGTCACACTAAAATAATGCCTAATTTCCATAAATCTGTTCTGCAGAAGGCAGATATTGATGATTCTTTTCAAATATATTGTGATGGAAGCTAAATATTCAATTGCTTTGAGTTTATTTGGGAGCAAGGAAGAAGACTTGAAAAGTAATAAGACAGGAAAAATGGAATGGTCAGAATATCAGTGTTTTCTCCAGTAATATCCAGTAGAACTGCATTTAGTATGTGGATCTAGCTATAGCAGCTTTATAACTTAGAACACTTATTCTCAGCATTGATCAGGAAAGATGAACTTGGATGATGACAAACTGAACTGAAAATGCTTTAGGAACCAATTTGTCCATAGAAAGAATAAGTAATCATAGATTCTTGACAAAATGTCTTCAATCAAGAAAACTAAACTTGGAGACAGCATTCTTGAAAGCTAACCCCTGGAAAGTCTACAAGAGAAGCAGGAAAAACACACATAACTAATGGACTGGAAAAAGTAAGTTTTCACTCTGAGAAGAAAAAACTGAGGATACCCAGAAATAAAAGAAATAAAAAACAATGTACATGTATTCTTCAACAGATTTTTTTATGAAGAAATACATGTAGCATGATAATGGTTAATGTGCACAAAAGACAGATCCAAGATCTTGGAATTTTCCTGCAAAACTACAGTAGCACTTTGCTATTTTGAACACTGATATCTTGAATACCAGGGATATTTTGAAGTGATTTGGCAGTCCCAACAACATTTTCTTTATGTTTTTTTTACCCCTGTTATCTCAAATCCTGGGATATATTAGTATGTAATCTCAGTCCCTTCGAGTTCAAGATAACGAGGTTTGACTGTATTTACCTAACATCACCAATATGTTTCAATATGGTTGACAAAATGCAAATTTCTCAGGTACTTTACAATGTTTATACATGTAAATTGGTCAGAACTGTGAAAAATGTAAAGGGATGGAAAATGATGGAGCATAATGCATAAGGAGATTCAGAAAATTCTTGAAAGAAGACTGTGGACCATGCTGAAGAAAGTGATCCACTTCTCTGTGCAAACAGCAATATTGGACAGTTACACAGACATCAATTTCATTATCAATCTGATTTTCCTTTTCTTCTTTGTAAAATTTACCCAAATGTATGAAGAAGAAATTATGGCACCAAAGATACTCACTGAAAATGTGCACTATGATTACTTATGAAAAAGAACTGCTCTAGAAAATAAGAATCTAGAGATTTATTTCTACACAGCAGTGAAGAGTTGAAATGGGGAAGTAGAATTGATGGATCTTGTTAGCAAACCCATAATAAAAGAAAAAGTGACGACGGAAAGTTCTTCAGAACATTAAAGTATTGTTTACTGTGCTGAAGTTTAATTATTAATACACGGTTCTGTAAATTTTTAAAAAGTGGACAACGAAGAAGGAAGGGATAATCAACAATTGAATTACATGTACTACAGAATACCTAGTTTAAATCAGGATGAAACCAAAAGATGAAAAAGTGCCTATTTAACAATGGACTTGCTTCCTCTGCTATGAATTGAACTTGATAAAAAATGCAGCCTTTCATGACAAAAAATGGAGAAAACACTGATTTCACTTCCAAATTATTGTTTGACTAGAATCACTGAGAGCAGGAATGTATTTTTCATGCTACATGTCAAAGAGATTGGTACAAAAAAGGTATCAAGCTTTTGACTGGAAAGCCCCTTTTTCAGCATTTGAAGGTTGAATTTCAGGTCAGAAAAAAGATAAGTCTGCTTATTGCACCAATATTCCCCCTGACACCACTGAGGAGGTCTTGAGAGCTATTTTCCCAGAATGCACCAATGTCCTTATTCCTACTAATGAAGAAGGTGAAAACTTTGGGTAAGTTGCAAGAAATAGAGAGGCGATGATCAAAGACTAAGGTAAACTTTTGCCACTTGTTGAGTGAATGTTGCAGGTAGAAAAAAATATCTGAGATAAGGAGAGTGCGGGTTTAGTGAAAATATGAAAAATATAACAACTGATGGAATTGTGATGAAAGCTTTAAGATTTTTGAAAAAGGAGTTTTGAAGATATTAAAAAAAAATGCATGATTTGATGCGTTTATACCTGCTTGTGGAAAGCAAGGATATTTGGAGAATAACCAAGTTTTATTTTTCAAAGTCGTTTGAAGAAACAGAGGCTTATTACAAATGTTGAAATCCCATTAATTTTGCGACGATCATTTTTAAGGTGTAGGAAGCTATTTAAGAGAACCAGATAGAGAGATGTCCTTGTTATTAAGTTTGGATAGCTACTAATGTTTTTTATTGAAGAGAAGCTATTTTGAAATTTATAAAGGATTTTTATTTGAATAAGTAAATTTGCTCAGATGATCAAAATGTGTTGAATACCACACTACATACTTAGACTAAGAAGAGTGCACCTGCAGAATTTTATATAGAAAGTAAAAGTAATAATTTACTTGTTTTACTAGAGCTAATATACATACATGTAAATTACTGTAAAATTGTATAAAACACAGCAAAGAATCGGAAGGTCTGCATAGAATTAGCCACAACATCAGAGGAATTCTAGATTTTTCAGAATTTGATTATTTCGACAACTCTGAAAAGAATAATTATATTACTATGAAGCACAGTGTAATTTAATTTTTTTTTTCAAAGAAATATGACAAATGATATATTACCTGTCAATTAATGTGTGTAAATGATGATCTTTCATCTTTGACTGAATAACCTTTGACCCTTACCTTTTGTGTAGATGTGCCATTCTGGAGTTTAAGAGTGGACAGGAGGCTGCCAGCTGTGTGGAAGGGAACAAGGATGTGGAGGTGGGGGACCACAAGATCAAGCTCAGCCACTGCTACCCCATGCCAGATCATGGTCAGTCAATACTGTATTCTAATGCAATTGTATTGTAAAATCTATTTTGAGAGGTTAATGCATTGATGTTTGAGGCAGTTAATTAACAAGTCAAAACTTTTGAATGTGGTGTCATAATAGAACGGTGCAAAAATCTAATGCTTCTCAACGTATTTTGTGTCGTAAAACTGAATGAAATAAGACATAAACATCAAACAAAATGCAAAAATTGCATTAGAATGGGAATACTAGTATACATCCGTTTTACCGGCTTCACTAACATGTCGCTGAGAAAACTCTTTTAGGGACTGTTACATTGTAAATCAGCATTAATGGTCGCAAATAATAACCTTTTTAAAGCAAAATATTTTTAAATGTTTCTTAATTTCTTAAGCAGTACTAGTGCTAAGAGCACAAATATTGCCAAAATTAATACCACAAGTGATTTTCCTCTTTATAATGTACTGTCATTATCTTAATTCAATGGCCCAGAGTTGTGCACCGATGAAGGTGTTGTTCAACCAAACTTCAAATTTAGTAACTTTACTAAAGGAACCTCAAATATATGTTATTTTTAAAAAAAAAGGCCACATCAAATCAAAGACATTTAAGTCTCTGTTGACATATTACAAATATACTGAAATTCTACATGTAAAATACATCTGATATCTATATAAATCTACACAGTATTTGTTTTTTTAAGTAAGATATTGTGTATATAATTACATGATATTTACAATCTTGATAAACAGAAAAAAGAACATAGAAATTTGTAAGCATTTACAAACTTCCTTGAGTGTTTAAATCATTACCCTATAAAGGTACTGTGTAAAGATCCTTTAGTGTGGTATTGGAGGGACCTACATGTACAAACTCTGAAGGTGATGGATGTCAATAAAAGGAAGTTTCATATTTGCATGTTAGGATCTTATATTTATCTTATTATTAAAACGTAAAATTGCTTCTATTTATAGCTTTGGCTAAGTAAATGGCCTCAAAAAGTTTCGAATATATGTAATCCATTTCTTGGTAACAGTTGTCTCAGGTCAACATTACAATTTTTTTTCTTTTTTAATCAGCATTATATAAAAAAAATTTTGCACCTGACAGTATTTTTACCCAAGTATCACCATCAGATCTGTTATTGGAACTGTATCTTACTCTTTTCTACTTACAGTGCAAAAGAGGTTAGAGGAAGAACGAAAGCATGATAGACCTAGAGAAAAGCATAACAGGCCAACAGGCAGCAGGTTCTCTAACCTCAGTGGTAGACGAACCATGCCTGTAAAGCGCCTAGGTACCAGTCTGTCTGCTAGGTACAAGTTTGGTGGTGCTAACAGATCAGGCAACGTGAGGGGACGCATGCAGCGTGGTGGTGTTGGCATGCAACGCGGTGTCAACAGAAGCAACTTTGGCAACATGGGTTCAAACAGGAGTAAGCTTGTTTCTTTTGATTCTTGGAAATTTGTTACTTTAGCAAGAACTTGGTCTTCTAATCTTCTAATCGGATATCTGTTCAGCCTTCTAATCTGTATCATGAATAAAATAGATACAGGTCCTTCAACTGAGATGCTGGTAAACCAGATGTCTGCTTTGACCAACATGGTGATGACCAGTCAACAGAAACTGGCCCAACAACAGAACTTGGTCAGACAGATGGCCAATCAGCAAAATATGATGAGCAACATGAATGCTGGGATGTCTAGTGGTGGATCTATGGGTGGAATGGGAGGTGGTGGACGAGGGTTCAATGATATGGATAACATGAATGATGGTCGTAACAGGAGGGAGTCGTTTGACCGTGGAGGGGACAGGATGGGAGGGGACAGAATGGGAGGGGGCAGAATGGGAGGAATGGGGTCACAGAGGTCCCAAGGAAGACGTGACGACTTTGACTCAAGAGGGGGATCAGGAAACAGACGAAATATTGGCAACACTCCAGGTACAAATTTGATAACTGGTTTTAAAATATTGTTGTCTGAATACTTTGTGTATGATCATTTACAAAAATTTTCATATTTTATTTAATTTTTTTTTCAAAATAGGTAATATTCCACCAGGGGAATCTGCTTGCTTCAAATGTGGACAGGATGGTCATTGGGCGAGGGAGTGCCCTAACCAGAACCAAAGAGAAAGAGGTACAAAAAAAAATCCTAGATGTATGGAGATACATGTTTAATCCATATTCATGAAAGTAAATAGTTTAAATAATGATATATCTTGTATGCAGCTCCTGCTTCCAGCAGTTCTGATCGTGGACATGTAGCAAACAAAATGGGAGGTCCTAAGCCTGGGGATATGTGTAACAAGTGTGGAGAAACTGGCCACTGGGCCAGAGAGTGTCCCAACCCACAGCGAAGTAAGTATAAAAGGCTGTATAAAGAAATTCATGTACAGCTTCTTGTATGTCCTACAGTCAATATATCATAGTCCTTGCATTTCATGAAATACCGCCATCAGCGTTCTGTGTTATCTTTATTTCTAGACCCAAAACCAAGTGGAGGTCATGGTGGCAGACAAAGCTATGGTGGAAGACAAGATAACTATGATTCAAAAAGGTATGCTCACATATACACCATGGTATCAGTTTAGTTATAGTGGCCTCTTGGTATAGTGAGATAGGATACTACAAAGTACCGCTTACAAGGATATGATTTTTGAGTCCCACATTAATTCTTTAATAATTCCTTTATAAAAATCATGGTTATAACAAGATAGCTTTTAATGAGATTCTGTATGTATGAGGTCAAGATTTACTGTGATTTCAACACACTATAAGATGTATGATGACTAATTTACAAGTACATGTATCAATCTTCTGATGTGTGTTATTATTCGAGGTCCTAAAATATGTTTACATGGACTAGTCTTAGTACAATTGTACATAAATCTTGTTGGAAGATGTATTTTATTTTGCTCAATTTGTTTTTTTTTTTGTTTTGTTTTTGGAAGAAAGTGTATTTAAATATGTTACTTCAGATGAGAATAATAAAGCCTGAAATGCAATTAACTGTGAAATGCACTTCTGATGTAACAAGATATAATTCAATGTATACCTGTAGACCATTGTATCTAGGTAAAGTTTATGCAAACTGTATTCGTATTCTCAGATTTTGGTATCTTACTGTTTGGAACTTGTAGGTATGATGTGGATCCTCCAAGAATTTCTGATGATGTGCCCTTCATGACTGGCATTGCCAGTGGCAGTAGTAGCCAGAGATTTGATGACAACTTTGACAGATTCCAGTCAAACAAACGCAAGAGTGATTATGATGATCACCGTGGACCAAAGAGGTCTAATTATGGTAATGCACACACACACACACACACACAATAACAAAAAGTAGAAAGTTTAGAAGGGTTTATGAATTCATCAGAGATTCCCTCCTGACAATTAGTATGAGGAAGATTAAGTAAAACCAATAAATATTTTTACGTGATTTATATGCTTAGGAAATGGGTATAAATTTATGATAAATATACATCTTGGAAGTTCTTAAAGGGTTTTTATCACGTTTCAAAATTTTTTGATATGACAAAGTTTACATGCTATTAAAATCATATACCGATACTTAAAAATCTTTGCTAGAAAATTAAATATTTTTGAAGTTTCAGCGATTCAAAGTTTGAATTTCTCAATATGCATATTTTGATCGCCGATGTTACGCGCCATTGCTCTGACGTCATAGGTGTCAATCCTGGTCAAGCGAAGTACTTATTGTGTATACAAAAGGGATCATTTGTTGTGTCTTTTAAACCTGTTAGGAAATAATTCAGTGATAATTAATTGAATAATTGACAACTTGTAAGGTATAATTTATGGCTTTATGGTGCACAAATGTGCACAAGAAAGGTTATAGGAAGAATTTTTCCCCCACATTTCCTGGACTTGGTCGAGAGATAAAAGGAGGGCCTTTCTCTGCAAATGCGATGGTGTTTATCTCCATTCAGAACAATCGTTTATGCCCGATCGATCACGATTTTTTTTCTTCTGTCCTATAAAATATTTTAAGGAAAGATACTTTTTAAAAAAAATAATAAATGACAAACACGCATTTTTTAAAAGTCGCACAGAATCTAGTAGGAATGTTGTGAACTTCGTAATGGCGTACGGCGCCATTGAAGAAGTGTCATTTCTAGTACATGATATACACTGCTAAAACAGATAGAAGATATACAGGATTTATCTATTTATAATTAATCAAAATAATAATGAAGAGGAATTTAAAATTCCCATATTTATAAATGTTTACGAAGTTAAACTTTAGTAATTCGTTCTATTTAGTTGAAGTCCCGAGTTGTCAACGGCTTCGTCTTCGGTGACCTCTCTCAAATTGTTGGCATATTTTCGGGTTATTTCTCTCTGCTAGACGTTCATACCTAAAAGATTGACCCTCCATAACCAAAGGATTATAGTCTATGTCAAAATTTCAACCGGCCATACTGTGTATTCTATTCATTTAGCGTAAAAATCTATTCAATATATTTTTTTCTTACGATAAGCTTTACGAGTTCTTTTGACCATTGACACCTATGACGTTTCAGTACCACGTGACCCCTATCTAATTAGTGGAGACTTTTACTTCGAGGACCCTATATTACGGGCGTTTTATCGTCTAATTACGGCCGTTTTCAACATTATTTCATAATTAAATGATAATAATATGTTTCAAGAATATAAGAGTGTTTCATTTTAAAGAAATTTAGATACGTGATAAAAACCCTTTAAGAAAAAGAATATTGTGAAAAAAAATGTTAAATTGGTTTTAGGAGGTGGCCAGAGAGGGGGTGGGGGAGGCAACAGGCGAGATGGTGGTGGACGAGGCTTTGGTGGTTATGGCAATCGAAGCCATTCACCACCCAGACGCAACCCTAGGCAAGAGTCACCACGTGAAAAAACCTGGACTTCTGCCCAGTCCAAGTGGGAGCAGTACAATATGTCAAAGCAGGGTGGTGGTGGTGGTGGTGGGGGTAAGTACATCTGTTTATTCTGGCAATGGAAGTGTAATGAAGAGTACTGCTGTATTGTTTTTGTAGAAAATGGACTTTCAGAATATTTACTGTACATATCCAGTTATCAGACAATTTTCTGGTACAACAATAAACTCATGTAAGACCTTTAGGACATTGAAGATTTAGCAACACTTCCATAAGATCTGTGACAGATCTGGTGAAACTTTCAGAGGAAGGAAAATTCCAATGTTGCTGCCATGGCTTCTGATGGACCTTTACAAAACCAACTTGTAGATTTTACCATCCCAAAGTCATTAAATTAGGCTCATATCTTTTATAAATTCTAATAATTCTTTTCAGCATTGTATGATAATATGCCTATTGATTGGTTTTGGCTTGTCCATTTCTATTAATTAAAACTACATTTATTTTCTTTTTTCAGGGAGTTCCCGGAATTATGGGAATGACAACTATGGAGACAACAACTATTACTGAAAAAAGATGTGGTCGTGCTTATTTCATGTTGAAGGACTAAAATCTTTTATTTTCATTCTACTGTTTCATTCATCATGTCAGAAAAAATCTGAAATATCAATCATTATGTTGTGAACATATGATGCATCATTGAAATGTTTTAATTTTTGTCATAATTCTTACATTGTGGTGTCAAATTCCTGTCAGTTTATACTTGTATGAAAATAAAGTGTAATGTGAATTGGCAGATTCTATTATGGCTTTGCAATTATTTAATGGAACAGTTTTGAATGGATGATAGATTTATCAGTCTAGGTGCTGACTTTGTACTGGATATGTACATATATTTTTAGTACCATTTAATAGCAATTAAAATGACACAGTAGCTTATTTGGTAAACACATTTGAATGATGATATTTAGTCAAGGTACAGTCAAACCTTCATTATATCAAACTGGAAGAGACTAAGGAAAAACAGATATCCGTGGACTAGAGATATTGAGATCAAATACATTAAAAAATTGTGGTTGGCCGTTGGGTCACCTTTAAAACATATACATGGTATTCAGATATTGATGTTTGAGACAGTGCAATACTGCACTAATTTGAGGTCAGTTTGCAATGACCTTGGAAATGAGAAACATACACTACTGTCATAATGTGGCACCCATGTCTTTTAAGTTCAGAATAGCCTAGGTTTGAAAGATTCAGTTGGTGGTTATTTTAATTTGGTGAATACATGTATCTGCATTTACCGGTAACCATTTTTTTGTGTATTTCACCAGAACCTTTTAAAACATATCAGTAAATAGGCAGAATAATATATATTTTCCCAACTTAATTGATTTAATACATGATGGAGTTGCAAAAGTGGACCACTATATATCGGAGATTTCCAACTTTTGATTAATGACATCTTTAATTGAGCATTCTGGTTTTTGTTAATAAATGTGTATGTTACAGGTTGTGAAAAATCATGCCTCAACCGGGACTTGACCTCGGGGCCTGTGGCATACCTTGCCGAATATTTTGACTGACTTTCACACACCTGTGAACCTGGTGACATATTCCCCCTCTTTGTGGAAATTTGTCCTTCAATTCTTTGAGTTGAGGAAATACTGTGAGGCATGCTCCAAGGGAATTGTGGGTATTTGTACGTTGGGTGCCATATGTCACAGATGGTGAAAAATCAAGTCTCCTATCAACCGGACTTAACCCAGGGCCTCTGGCATAATGTGCCAGGGCTATAACCACTGAGCTTTTGAGACCTGGTATGTTGCCCGACTTTTACACAGGTGTAGCTTTTAAAGTGTACACATACAACAGAATTAATATTAACGTCTTAACTTGCCTATTTCCTTGAAAAGGGTTGATTCTTTCTTGTAACTAAAAACATACTTATAACCAGAAGTCTCTGACAAGACTGTAGCTCTACTGGTTGTACTAAAGTAGCACTTGGACTTGAAACTTTGCAACAGCAATAAATAGAATAATGATCCTTGGTTTAATCTCTTTTTGTGGCAAGATTTATTGCAATCAGACTAAAACTGTAGGAGGAGTAGCCTTTTAAAACAATTTTACAGAAATTTTGATTTAAGTAACCATTGCAACATCATTCAACAAAATTAAAAAACAATAACGACAATTATGTATCTCAGTTAGTCTACTTGTATGCCAAGTTATACTGAAAGCAGACAAAAAGTGTAGGAGGAGTAATGATTTGAAAGTATTTCAAGAAAAATTTCTATTTTTAGTAACCGTGGCAACACCGTTCATCGAAATCAAAAACTGATATTAGGAATTATGTATCTTAGTGTAGCCTACTTGTGTGCCAAGTTATATTGAAATCGGATCAAAACTAGGAGGAGTAATGTTTCAAAAGTTTTTCACAGAAATCTCTATTTTTAGTAACCAATGCAACACCGTTCATTGAAATCAAGAAACGATACATAGAATTATGTATCTTAGTGTAGTCTAATTGTGTGCCAAGTTATACTGAATTTGGACCAAAACTGTAGGAGGAGTAGCGTTTTGAAAGTATTTCACAGAAATCTCTATTTTTAGTAACCATGGCAACAACGTTCATTGAAATCAAAAACCGATACACAGAATTATGTATCTTATTATAGTCTAATTGTGTGCAACGTTAAATTGAAATCAGATCAAAACTGTAGGAGGAGTAGCGTTTTGAAAGTTTTTCACAGAAATTTCTATTTTAAGTAACCATGGCAACACCGTTCATTGAAATCAAAAACCAATAAACAGAATATGTGCCAAGTTATATTGAAATCAGACCAAAACTGTAGGAGGAATAGCGTTTTGAAAAATTGTTTACAAACGGACAGACGGACGAACACCTTACTATCGCATAAGCTCTTCTGGTCTCTGACCAGTACAGCTAAAAATTGTAGGAAAGTGTTGTGTTCTAGCTTCCTATTGACTCTTAATCATGAATTTGCAGTACAACTGCATAAATGTAATTCAGGGAGGGGGTTATTCAAGCCAATTCAGCAACTTTTTGTTTTTCAAGACCCATCTTTATATCGTCACCAGAGTCATTCAAGTGACTTTTTTTTTTGTCCATTGTCGTGTGGGTGTGCTTCGTGTATTATCTTTTCACATTTTCAATTTCTGTTGAAAAAAACACCAATTTCAATCAAACTTGTCTCAAGAGTATCCTTGGGTGAAGGGGATTCAAGTTTGTTAAAATGAAGGGCAATGCTCCCTCCCATGGGCTCCCAAAGGAAAAATAGGGTGGATCATTTAAAAATCTTAAGAACCACTGGGCCAGAATAGTTTAAACTTATATGAATGCTTCCTGACATAGTGTAGATTCAAATTTGTTCAAATTATAGCCCTCTGGAATAGGGTGGGGCCACAATTGGGGATCAAAGTTTACATGGAAATATGTAGGAAAAATCTGAAGGACAGCAGGGCCATGATTACCTGGTAGTCAGAAGCCTTAGGCAGTGCAGATTCAAATTTGTTCAACCCATGGGCATAGGATGGGGCCACAATTGGGGATCACATTTTTACATGAAATAGATAGAAAAACCTATTAAAATCTTCCCAAGAAGAGCAGGGACCATCCTCACAACGTCAGGGGTCCTGAGTCAACACGTTGCCGTGTTGACTCAGGACCCCTGACATTGCGAGGATGAGCAGGGACATGAATAGTCATAGTAATATGCAAGCATCCTCAGGTACTGCAGATTCAGGCATGTTGCAATCATAGTTCCCAAAGGTAGGGCGAGGTCACAATGGGAGGTCAAAATTTAATGAAGTTATATATAGGAAAAAATCTTTAAAAATTTTCTTCTCAAGAACAGGGTCATGATAAGTCATTAATATGCAAGCATCCTCAGGTCCTGCAGATTCTTGTTTGTTCAAAAGATTTTGGGGGATAGAATCAAGCACCACAGTAGAGGATCAGAGTTTCAAGTGGAATATAAAAATTTTTTTAAAAACAACTAAAAACTTGTATCGAAAATTCTCTTTCTCAAGAAAATATAAGTGGGCAAACAGATTTCATGATTACAGCAAGTACATAACCCTTTACTTAATTAAAAATATCCAACATTCAGGCTCCAGGTTGGAGCTAAGTTGGTAATATATTGAAAATGCATAAAAAAAACTTTGTATATTGATTTTGTATACGTATTAAAATTTACAGTGTACTTTATTTCCTTTACTCCTGATTTTATAGGGGCAAGCTGCATAAATATGATTATGATTACGGGGTGCTTATCAAACTGTAAGATGTATACAAATCAAAGCCAGTTCCAGGTGGGTCCAAACTGGCCATAGCCCAAAAAACTCAGGTGACCATTAAGGCCCATGGGCCTAGTCTGACAGAATCCTGGGCTCTGTAGTCCTTGTTCCTCTCATGTTTCCTTTTCTCTATCTGATCAACCCACTGCAGTATTGCTACAAAATAATCTCTTTCATGGAGTGCAATTAATGGATCTGTGTGTTCTACATCAGCCAGTTTCCTGTTTAAAAACTTAAAGCTATTGTTTAGGTTTTGTATGATTTAATGTGGGATCATGTTTCTTACATGTATCTACATTAATAACAAAGATATAAACAAGTGCAATGACACAAATCATATTTTTGGCATAAACTTGCTTTTTTTGTCAAAAATGAAATTTGCTAGCTTAAAAATTTTGAAATATTCTGTTGTGTTTTTTTTAACTTGCATGACTTGATATAAAACCAAACTAAATCCTATGAAGAGAGGCATTTATACATGTATCAACTAAAATTGGAAAAGACTACTTTACCAGCTTAAATACAAAGATCATCTACAGGAACACAACAAAGTTCCAAATTATTAAACCTAAAACCTTGACCTTTGAAAGACATGATGTATCAGAGACATGAAATAAAATTGAGGATTTCTCAGTTATTACGCATTTAAATCATTTCTTATTAACAAGCAATCTACATATATTTACAGTCAGTCTTATCTAAAAGCCTTTCCATACAAGTTAATACTTATTGCACTATTGACTAATTAATTTAGCAGTTAAGACTCTGAAGGCCATGAAGGATGATCCACATCTTAGTAGTGTGACCCTTAAGAAGCACCTCTGGTCACTAGCACTTGAACCACACGACACAGGACAAATTCATTGTGTTGGATACATGGGTGAACAAAAAAGTGAGTATAACCTTCTCTTCTTTACATCTGAATTCAGAAGGGGAACAAAATCAAAATACAAACATACATTAAAAACTTAATAAGTAACATGCAAATCAAGTTTGTGAATACATGCACAAGTTCTGGTGATTTCTACATTGAGAGATAGTGGTCTTTCACCTCCAGCACCTTAATAAAGTCTTGACAAATAAAAATGGACCAAAAACAAAACCACAAAGAAAATATCTTTTGTGACCCTAACTACATGTTTCATGCATAAATTGTTAAGTCTAAATACTGTAGATCACCAAATTTTCGCAACACTTTAATTTCGTGACATGGCCATTTGGTATTTATAAGCGAGACATAAGCTGGTTATTGTTCTATATAATCTTTTGTACAAAAAAATACGCAAAAATTAAATTTTTGCGAGCAAGCTGTCTTGCGTAATTACGCGAAAATAAAGTTCTCACGAATAAAAAGTGATCTACAGTACATGTAACATTGCTTATCACAGTCATCCTTGCATCCTAAAATAAAAGAATAAAAATTGAAAGAAACTAAAATAACATTGTCTTTTTAAGTCATCCATGTTTTTTCTATCATTAAATAATAGATATTGTTTGGATATACATGTACTGACATTCATGCAAAAAATACATACTGAAAATACTCCACCTTAATTTTCTGGAGAAAGGGCAAGAACACAATTCGATACTGAGTCATATAATCAGAGAATTTGAATGCCTTTTCATATAATGACCATTTAAGATGAGAAAGATCTTCCTCTTTCAAGATTAAAACTGAAACTGATAAATTTTGAGAGGAGAGTGATTAACAAAATAAGTTTTTCAATAAACCATGTAGTTTCAATGCATGTGTAACCCCTTCCGGGCAGTTCTCTATACAATGTACATCAAATAACTGTAAAACTAGGACAATCTTGCCACATTTATAGCATATCTGATACAATATAAAAATAACAAGCATTTTAATGAGACTTGTAATGTACATGATATTATCTGTCAGTCCAATATCTCAAAATAAACATTTTGTATCCATAAAGCATCACATATCTATATGGGCAGAAGGAGGGGGGATGGGGTAAAAAATTAATTCCACAATGAAAATATACTCTTTTGTTTCTTTTTACAAGAATGGAAATGAAGATGACAAAAATAGTACAGAATCATACACAAAAGATAGGAAAAATATATAATAAAAAGGTTTTAATACCGTAATAAAGGAGAATAGTAAAAGAAAAAAAAATCAGCAATAAAATTTAACATATCCCTGCAGGAGATGTCCAGATCTCAGATGTCTTCACAAGATAATAGTTTGTTAAGTTCTGATTCGACTAGTCCTGTCACACATTTTGGATATGGCGTGGTTATAACAAACCCCTAGCGGTCTTTACTGGTCAGCTTATCAATGAGTTCCTGGAGTGGGGCCAGCTCCCGCCGCTCGATCAGATTGAACTCCTGGACAAAGTAGATAAAGTGCTTGAAGGAGGTGTTGAGGTGAGCCTCTTCGCTGAGTTGCACCACCTCCTTAAAGTGCTGGTGGTAGATGTGGGCGTAAACACGAAACAGTCTTTTCAGAATGGTTTTGGCAATTGAGAGAAAATTTTTCGGAAATGGCACTCCTTTGGGAAAAAAATTGACAAAAAACTTGTTTAAGTGCATAAAAAAATGTAATAAATTCATAAATTTGCAGCTAAATGTACAGTTTACTAATAAAAATGATAGACGAATCTGAGTTGTCAGGCCCAAATAAAGCTATTTGATTACTAAAAGGCTTGCAATGTTAAAATCTGATTCCCTAAAATACCCTATGTATACCTATTTCAGGAGAGCAAAATTGAAGAACATATTATATTTTCTTTATCTTTTTAGAAAAAAATTTACATGTATGTTTTAAAAGGCTATTCATAATTTATGATAATCCTTTGTTGTTTTAGACTGCAGATAAACATGAACAGGAAGTAACAAAGTTAACAGTCAACCACAAAATTCAATATACTGCTAATAACAAAATATTTTTGCTGAAGATTTTTATTTCTGCCTTGATTAAAGTCATCCACTACAATTAATATTATATTTAACTGATTTTATCCATGTTTTTATTTACATTGATCTGACTATTACCGGTATACGTGGTAGAGTATTTACAACTTGTTTACAGTGATATTACAGCTCTCAAACACAAAGAACCATAAAAGCATTATCAATGTCACTTACCTATCTTTGAAGGGAACAGGTTCTCATCATCCAGCTGGTCTTGGACCCATGACATGAGATAATCAATATATTTTGGTGCTGAGCACTTGATGGGCTTTTTGACTGTCTGTCCGTCTGCCCAGTGATACTCGTATTTTGGTCCAGCTGACATCACTGGGCAGGTTTCTTCTATACAGAACTCTGTGATGGTTCCATACAACATGTTTATTTGATTGAAGAAATCTACAGCTGTTAAAGAAATACACAAGCTTCAGAAAGCTGATTTTATGCCAAGTGCAGTTTTGATGAATAGACAGTCATACAATAAAAATACATTTTAATAATTTCAGGAAAAAAAAATTTCTTGCATAGATCTTCAAAACACCCTCCAGGCTGTAATACTTATGGTCAAATTTGATATGAACTCCAAGATAAACTGCTCCAAGGAAAATATTATTATTGTAGATTGGAATTTATTGATAAACACACAGGTTCAAATTTTCCATTACTCTCTGATAGTCAGGACTGCTCTTGTTAGGCAAAATTGTTTTATCAACAATGCAACAACTATGAAAGTACCATCAATGTCACTGGGACTTACTATTGACTGCCACCCATTCATTGAGATCCTCCCCCTCCGGTAACATGACGGCCTGTCGTAGATTTCCACTGCCCAGTGTGACAGCAGCATGTTTCATCAAATCATACTGATGTGTGCCTTCAGGAATGTTCTTCTTAGGCTTGAAGGTCTTGTTACTACGGCCTCCACTGGTAAAAGAAAAAAGAAAAAGAAAAAACAGTTATTTGCAGGGAAAACTTCTGTTTATCTTAATTCCTGATAATGATAATTCCATTCCCTCAATTTATAATGCCCTTAAATTGTTCCTGTCTACAATGTTTACAGTAAGTGAATTTTGTGTAAACCAAGATTTTTCCTGGCAAATACTTTCTATATTCTCTTTTATGTACCTGGTAAATCATTTCCTCAAATGTTACCTACTGCAACAAGAAAAAAGAATGGAATGATCATTCTTTATATTATCTGTACATTACTGTACATCAGGCCTTTTAAAATCTGCCAGTACCTGGCTGAAATCAAAATTGTACTGGCCAAAATACTTGGAGAAAAATTTTATATTTAATTAAAATTTCTTCCACAATGTACCTCCTATTTTGTAAAAGTATTGCTGTTTCTAATCTGTTTGAAAGCCCTGTGTGCATTAATAAAATTTCAGTGAGCCCCCCACCCCCCTCCCCTTTACATATACACATTTCTTAAACATATCATATTGACTGCAAAATCATTGATTTATACTCTAGAAATACTTTTTTCTGCTTGTTTGGTTGATTGTTTAATGTCCCTTCAAGGAATTTTTCACTCATATTAAGACACCATTACTTCCCAGAGGAGTGTTGCAAATTTAGACCTGTACTTGGAAATTATGACCTTTGAGCAGTGAGGGATCTTATTCGTGCCAGCACCTACTGCAAAACAGTAACCTCAGATTATACGGTCTCATCTGAAGGACCGGTCTCCACATCACACAGTGGATTCGAAACTGTGACATAAGGATCAACTCCTTACACATCGACTCTAGAGCAAATGCTCTACTCACTCTAACCACTGTGCCACTTTTTTTAGTCTAGTTCCTATCAAACAGTAGATAGATATTGTACAGACTACTTTACCATATATCTTGTTCTATTCTACTCTGGTTCTTGAAACCATTCTTCTAGGGATAAGTTTATTTTAAGGAACACCCAGAACATTAACAATGATACAAGGTTAGTCAGTCAGCAAGACTTGAGATAAACTGAAAATGTAACTTCTATCACTGCAGCTAAAGGCACTGCCTGGTATAAAGTGTATCACCAAATGTATTAATAGACCATTACCAAGTTTTTTCTCCATTTAGCATCTACTTTTCATTTTAATTTGACAGATTAACACCATAAATAGAAAGCAATCGACAAAAGTTTTTATTCGAAATGATCAATTTCTTGACTAATGACTACTGATTTTTTTTTCTGATCTGGGGTGCTAGACACCAAGGTACACACAAATAAACATAGAAAAAACTTGGAATGACCTTATTCAAACTGTTCATGCTATAGGATGCACAGATGAATAGATATTCAAGAAACCTTTATATTAGAATTTAGAGAGAACATCCAATTATTAAAATTATATTCATTGTCCTACAGATTTACACATTTTCTACGAATAATCCTGGGAGTTTCGAATGCCTCATGGCATGTAATTTCGAAGCGAGAAAAAACATTGAGAAAATGAGTTGAATTTTCATCTTTATATGGATTATTTTTTAGGGTAAAAGGCATATACAAGCTCAAAGAGGTTCACGATTAATTTGGTAATAGTTTTCAGTGCAATTCTTTTTGTATTCTTCAAAATTGTTTTCGAGCGGATCCTTTGCTCGAATTTGCTACAATGCATCGAATGCAACTTTATGGAACATATTCTAACTGTGGTAATGGCTTGTCCCCAAGACACAGTTAGACTATTCTACTACCTTTATATATATACTAAATAGACCCTGTCGTTAACCATACAAGTTTAGGAAATGTCATTTGCTACTTAACAGGGTTCTCATTAATGCAAGAATCTGCGTCAAAATTATTTGGGACTCAAGGTTCTTAAAAAAGATGCGTCCGTGAACTCATGAGTGGATGCATCCTCGTTAGCAAGAAATTTGGGTGCTTTCAAAAACTGGAGATTTTAGATTAAATATTTAATCGAAACATTCCTGTAACTATCATAAAGTTTATCCAAGAAATAATTTTTCTTGTACCTATTTCTATTTTTTAAAACAGGGATTGATTATAAGATATTTCATGTTTATCAGTGAATAGTCCATAGTCATAATAGTGTTGCATACCAAACTCCGATAGTTGTAAACATACTGCAGCTTTTTTTAAATTTAAAAACACTTGTGAATCTTGAGTTTTATCTAGAAATCATAATTACTGCTTGTATACACAATGCGGCTTGATTATCTCGTGAATTTCACCCAGTGCAGACAACCAACAGGATTAGTTACGCCTCATTGCACATGACACCTGTCATTGTTTACAGTCAACTTTAGGTACTAATTGATTATGCAACAGTTAATCTTAGCTTTATAAACACCAAGTTAATTTTTATGGCAACTGATTACACGTGTATTTTAGAATATGGCTTGGGTGCATTACCAGTTTATATATTTGAGTATGTTAATATTGCGTAAACAAACTGTTAAAATAATGAAGATTTTTATTTATGTTTGGATGGAAGGATACTGCAATAATTCAGTTGGGGGACTCAACATAATTTTTCTGGAACGCACCAAATTTAGCTGGGACGCAACCTTCTCAGAAATCTTCAGTCCTAGGACTCAAGTTAGCAAAATCCTAGTGAGAACCCTGCTTAATATGCACTAATTCACAACTGGATACAATCAATTCAATAATTATTTACAGACTATAGTGCAGTAGATACACAGATGCATAAATGAACATGGCCTTTCATCTAAAACTATCTTGAATTTAATACAGCTTCTTTCCACGAAAGCCAGTCAAGTTCTGAATTTATATATAAAAGGTTGTCTATTTTTTATTTTGGTGATATGAAACTTTAGGCAGCTAACAAGGTGAATTGCAGGGTATACACTTTTGGTTAACCCAATTGCAGCATGTGTACTAATACTGTAGGTTAAATGTAATTAGGATGAAAATGATCTAGCTCAGGTCAACTATAAACTTTTAGATTAGGAGTTTATTGATTTTGTAAGAGCATCAGTCTATAATGATGTAGTATGTGATCACTACTTTCTAAAATATGTATCACAACAATGAAGGAACATAAAATGGAAGCTAAATTTACTCATCAATCAGTTCAGCATATAAATACTCCTCAGCCTATAATTCAGAATACATTATTTCGTCTAATATTAATTCTTCTCATATTGGGTATTACTATCTAGACAGAGTATTATGACTATATATGCTATAGATACAATAGGGTATAAATCAGTGTCAAGTGTACGTACAAGTTAGTCAGCACTAAGAAGTCTCTAACCTACTCAGAAAAATAAATTTATGTCTATAATCTACCACAGTATTTAGTTCAAACTTCCAAATAGTTGTTAAATAATAAATTATCATTCTGGGTAAAATGTAGAGAGATTGTTAATACAACAAAAGCTCCCATGTAAACAATAACAGCCAAATGTCAATAAAGCAAATCACATCAACTTACAATAAAAAGCTCATTCTGCATATAATTGGCAATTATGAGTAGATATAAAATTCCTGCTACTTTGTATCATGGATAGAATGGTCAGAATTTATCTGACAACTGATATTTACGCCGATGTTAATAGATTTTCCTCAACTTTGTTGTTTGTAAACATAGAAAATGGTCGCCGGAAACAAGAACCAGGAAGCTAACAAATATATATGAAACGCTTGGATGATTAGGACAATATTAAATGGATCATGTTCTCACCATTTTCATTTTTTCTTCTGATGCATTATTTTAAACAAACTCTAATACAGGATGATTTACAGACATATTCTAATATTTCCATGGATTTTAGATAAAGTTCGCTATCTATGAAAAAGAATTCCTGATAAAAACGGAAACGTCTTGAATGGTAAAAGAGAGACAACTCTGCTTCTAATATTCGGTTGAAAATCGAATTGGTTTCATTGCGTACTTGTAAAAATTAATTACTAAAATTGTTTTAATATAATTGAAAAGCATACTTTTAAAATTTTTAATTTGATTTAAAGTGTACTTTTATTGTTATTCTTATACTAATATGTAAACCCAATGCTGTTATTTTCAATTTGAGGCTTTTTTAAAATTAAGAAAAAAAGTTTAAAAATAAAGGATGACATGCGAAAATTGCAACAAAACAAGCATTTTTCTTTTAATTGCAGGAATGGTCAACGCCTAATCTACAACTTAACGTAATTACTTTAAGTAAAAGTATGTATTTACGAAGTACGAAGCTGTTTTCAAAGGCGGGGGTTATCACAATTTCTTGAATCTTTGTACGATAATGAGGACGCTCACCTTTTCACTTGACTTTATACATAGTAAGCGCATGTTTGTCTATTGTTCCCCATTTAACAGTAGTTGTACATTTGCATTAATAATGCTGTGTCAAAAGGAGATTAATAGACAAAAATGCGCTTATGGTATATGAGAAAAATTAATACTGCTTACATTCGTTCTCTCTGTTGTACATAACCAAGGGCTGTGGCATGTTAAATATTATAATTCAGCACATGATTTCTTATCTCAGGTAACTCTGTGAATACTAAATTGCATCACGTGACTTGTAAGGTAGCATGTTTTGTGCTAAGTAGGCCGGACACTGTGCTCAAACACGTTGAATTATCAGGTATCAATTCAAAATATTCTTTACTTACATGGACGTGCTTGTTGTCTATCTGGTCTAATTTTAGAGCCCATTCTTTGTTAGCTCCACCTCTCGTACATACTTAATGTTTAATCAAGGGCATGTACATGTATGTGTAAATTCTCTATAGGTGAAAAGCAGTAAAGAAAAAAAACCCAAAAAAAAACATAGAATTATTTTATGGTAACATAGTCTAAACTCGTTTTAACATTTACATTTGGTGCCAAATTGACAAAATTCTTAAGTATATATACAAAAATGAAAAGCAACAAAGGCGACAGGAAAAGACACAAAACCCAGTGTTAAATGTTTATCATTTGATGCCGGGCTTTATCCTTTGACCTTTATTTTATTAGAAAAACTTTAAAGAGATATTTTTTAATCAAGCAATTAAAAGAAAATTGATCAGTTATTTTGGTTGACATATAAAACAGCCTGGATTGGTTAGGTCAATACATTATATTTATAATGATTAAAGTTCCGCACTACGGAAGCCGGTTGGTGCCGGGTAGAAAAAATATTTTATCTGACGGCCGCCTTATAAATAACTGGCGACCGCCAGATAATTATTCAATTGAATTACACAGAAATTATATGGCGGACGCCAAATAATTTTCAGGCGGCAGCCAGATAACTTTCTGGCGGCCGCCAGATCTTTTTATCTGGCTGCCGCCAGAAAATTATCAGTTTGGCGGTCGCCAGATAGGTTACTGGCGCCCGCCAGTTATTTATGTGGCGGCAGCCAGATAAAGAGATCTGGCGGCCGCCAGATAGAATATTTTTCTAGCTGGCACCTATACCGGCTTCCGTGATAGTGATTCATATGTAATTGTGGGGGGTTTTTTTTTGGGGGGGGGGGGTCAGAAATATTTTGTTACAAAGTATTAAACCTCAGTATTAGAAATAAATTATATTTTAAAGTATCAAATAACTTGATTATTAACGATTATTTCTTTCCGGGGGGGGGGGGGGGAGGGAGGTGTTCAGGTCATTACATATTTGACCAGATCGTTAAATTTTCATGAAATGGGTGGATAAATGATTATAAATTCGCTATTTTTTAAAAGCATTTATTAAATTGAATTACACGAATACATCATAAGCAAGATTTTTTTTTAAATATTTCATTTATAAACCTAAAATATTGTTTTTGACGAATTTTATGGGGTTTTTTTATCTTCAGATCAGACAGGTCTTTAATAGGTAAGGCCCCGGGATCATGGAATGTCTAAGTCAAAATGTATAAATTGTTCTGAAACTGTGAAAATGACGTTGAAATCAAACAATCCAAAATAGATATGTTGTTCAAAATTGCATTATTAAACTACTGTTATCAATAAATTAAGAGATTTATCACACAAATAATAAACATGTTATAGAAAATTTAAATTTTGACTTATGTCTAAGTCTGTTTCGTGATTCCGGGGCCAGATCTTTAGTATCTTCCATATAACCTTGAGCATTAAAGAATCTAGATTTACCTTCGCCTGAGCTGAGACAATAAAGTAGTAGATATGAAGTACAAACATGATGTTCATCGTTAGCATCTATCCGTTTCGTACATTGAGCACAAATTCATAATTTTTGTAAGGATTGATCAATAAGATTTTTTCCAATGATTAATTGAAGATAATTTTGCACATAAATACTAACAATGAGAATAGTTTTTCTTGTTGTTGTTGTTCTTTTCTGATAAACCGTTTTTGTCCGATTAAAATTTACTTATTTTCCCCTTCATTTTATATTGGCTTCAACTACCGTCGACACGAGGCGTGAGGTAGACTGAAGGCTTGTAAAAATGGTAAATACACATACCCTAAAGAAAAAAAAGTGTTGAATGTGGTTTGAAAGAAGTTAAATTATTCATTTTGTTCCTACTGATCACAATTTGCTGTATGTGATATTAGAGAATGGTAAATTGTAACGAGCTTTGCGATGTCGCGTTATGTCGCCATGTTTTCAGAAATGTCTTTGTGAAAAATAACTTCCTGGCTAAAATGAAAGTGTAACAATTTTGCGTCGTATTTTGTTTTGTGGTATTTTTTTTTAAAATACTTTTAATCTCTTTTCGCCAAGAAGCTCTGCTGTAGACTACTTCACTTTTTTTTCATGTAAAGTTTGCACACACCAAAATCTGTTTTGGACTATGTTCCATTAATGTCTTATTGATAATGCATACTGGAATTTATAAGCAAGTGCATATTCATCCTTTAATACAACAAATAATAATGACACCTTTTTAAAGCGTGAAACAAAATCATTATAGATTCTTTATGTTTAAGCTTCATTTATAGAATAATCTGTATCATTGGGCAGGCCAAAATGACTATCATTTTAACGGACATTCTACTTAGTGTAGGCTATGAGTTTGTGCTGATCACAGTATTGACTTTGTGAGTGTTGAATGATAATCTAATCAATTAAAATTAAAAGATTTTGGTGAACTTGGACAATTGTGAGATCCTTTTTGTTGCAATCTATGTAAGCAGGGGATCTAAAGACTAATGTAATAAAATAGGGTTAGTGGTGCAAATCTGCTCGCTTCAAGAGTCCTTGTGTATAGATTATTGTAAAAAAAAAAATCATTGCCATCTTTATACCAATAAAAATTTGATAATTGGTGTTATTACATATGAATAGTGACTTTAATTTACAAAAATTATCATCATTTCACAAGTGTCATTCACAGAAGCAGTAATTTTATCTTGTCATTTATGATTAGTCTGGAGATGATGAAGGTTGTGTTGTTCGGTTAAGGGGTCTCCCATGGTCTGCAACAGAAGCTGATGTTGTCAAATTCTTTGGAGGTAAGAAATGTAAAAAAAAAAAAATTCTGTGATTTATTGTAGATTTGTATGGTTACTGTATACAGGGAAATTTTTGCCCCCATTTTATTTTTGCCCCGTTTGCCCTACTAAGGTGGGTGAATTGCAAGTGTGAAAGGGCAAAAATAACACAGGGCGAAAATAATCCTGTATACAGTTTATATATAAAACATTCAAGGAAAAAAAATAAAACAAGTATTTGAAATATATATACTTGTATCAAATTTCACTGCACATATTTAATTGAAGTATCTAATAAGTAATTTCTAAGCATCAGCTACATTTAGGGCTTGGAAGATAAAATGATATGTAAATGTATCCTAAAGTATTCATGAAATATGAGCATATTGATACATCCATTTTATTATCAAATACATGTATTACAATTGTGTATCATTATACACAAAGTTTGAATTGACCACATCATCCTAGCTTAAAAAATACCCACATATTTCTTCATCTGAGAGTTTAATAAATTGAAAACTTTTCAGAAGATGTCCAGATAGTGGGGGATGGAAATCAGGAAGAACAGGGCGTACATTTCACATTTTCACGAGAGGGGCGACCAAGTGGGGAATGTTTTGTGGAGTTAATTGATGAACACAATGTACAGGAAGCACTAAAGTGTCATAACAAACATATGGGAAACAGATACATTGAGGGTAAATTCACTTTACAAAATTTGAATTCAGAATCTCATTATAATGATTTGTTATGAATTCTCATTGTGAAAAATGAGTTGAGAGGAAATTTACTATGGTGTTTGTTTTTTATTTCAGTTTTCCGATCAAAGAAAAGTGAAATGGATTGGGTGATAAAAAGGGCAGGACCAGGACAAATGCCGGGATCATGCGAGGCTGTGGTCAGATTACGGGGGTTACCTTTCGGTTGTTCCAAAGAGGAGATTGCTCAGTTCTTCACAGGTGAGGTCACGGGAAGGGCCCTGAATTTAAAATCCATTTTTCCAGTTAAAGTTATTTTTTTGTGTGACCCTATAGGTAATAAGAGGAAAAAATAAAGAGAAAAAGATTTATGATATGAAGTTGAGAACTACTAGTATACTAAACTGTTAAATTAAAATCAGGTTATAGAATTTCAACTTTTAAAGTTGAACTTAAATCTGAAATGCCTAATGATGCATTAGATGGTGTTAAATCATTGAAAGAGTATTCATAGATCAATGATAAAGGGTAAAAGAAAATGTTGATAGAGGGATAACCGATTCAAGGGAATTGTTAGCATTGGATTACAGTTTCTATGAGAATTTGTCAAGATCCCAAACAGTTAGGGGAGGATTCAGAATTTAACAAGGTGTTGATTACTGATATTAAGTATACTGACTGGAAAACCAGTTTTTAGTCTTAAGAAATCCAATTTAATTAGAAATCTAAATGTATTTCATGTGTACATGAACAAGGACTAAATTCTGAATAAGATTTGAAGGAATTATATGATTTTTCAAATTATTTTAAAAAATTAAGAATTGAAGTGATTTATTAAATAATTTTCAAATTATATAAAAAAAATTATGCAAATTTTTCAAGGAGAGAGTAGCCATCAATTCTAGAGAAATTCTGTATTATACCTCCCCTTACTGAAGAATTGAATGACTTGCTGCACATTGTGGCAAATATATGTGGCTGATGTCATGTTTCTCATTGGGCCTGGGGTCTATAGGGTTGGAGATTGTACCAAATGGGATAATGCTACCAGAGGATCGACAAGGGAGAAGCACGGGGGAGGCATACGTCCAATTTGCATCACAGGAGATAGCCGAAAAAGCTTTATCCAAACACAAGGAAAGAATTGGGCACAGGTGGGAGGAAAGGGCCTCTTGGGGCATGGTCAGCTAGATTAAATCTTGGTTAAACTCTGGTGTAAACAGGATAAAAGAGAAAATGATTCAATAAATATTCTTTGCTTGCTGAATCAGCTCTTTGATCAAGTTTTTGTGTCTCTTTGGTCTACAAAGGAAAAACACAAGTTCTACTTAACACAAAATGATCATCATCAAAGTTTCTTAGAGTATTTTTTTTTTTTAAAAAGTTGATCGTGGAATTTACAAAGTATGTCAAAAAAGCCAAAATTGAAATGAGATTAGACAAAAACATTAAAAAAATATAGACAAAACTGAACAGCAAGCAAAGTAAGAATAAGTCTGGAAGTTAAGGACGGGTCTACAAGGTCGGTTGGCTGGCTGGTTTGGGAGGTGAGAACTGGGACTGGTGGGTTTCCACGGCAACACACTAGCCTGGTAACATTTATAGTTTACAGATTTGAATAAAAGCAGAAATGAGAGAATTAATGTGAATAAAGGTTTGCGTACTAAATTTTATTGCTTTGAATAATCTGTAGGTAAAAAAATTAATGTTGATTAGAGAATGATTTTGTGTGAGTGAACTATTGTATTTTCAAAGTTAATACATGTTAGAAGTAAGAGGAGTGCATGTAACTAATGTTGTTAGAAATAGAAAGATGATGTAAAAGATTGTGAGCATGTTTCTCTATAAAATTTGTTGTTTGTTTCTTTATGGGTAATGTGAGTGTTTTCAAAAATTTATTCTAATCCATTGTATGGTAATATGGTTAGTCTTCTCGGAAAAAGTAGAGAGGTGCTAATATTACTCTGTTCAATTCTTTAGATACATTGAGATCTTTAAAAGTGGCATGCAGGAAGCCCAGAATGCCATGGGACAGACCCCCAGGATTCGGCCCCTGATGGGTGGTTCTGGTGGGGGCATGCAGCGGCCTGGACCCTATGACAGAACCAACCGCTTTGGAATGGGCGGTGGTGGTGGAGGCAACATGGGAATGGGTGGCAGTCCTGGAATGGGCATGTCTGGATATGGCATGGGCCGTGGAGGTCGTAATGTCAAAGGTGAGCAAATCCATCTTTTTCATCTATTTCAGAATTCGTTCCACAGAATGAAAATTTGAGTTACCTTTGATATATCAGTTAATAAGAGTAATTGAGTAGATATTAAATGCATATTGCAATTTATGCTGTAAGCAAAATTTTTTCAGCTGAAATTGAAAAATGAGTAATGACATATGCACACTAGTAATAAATTATCTATAATTGCTTTTCTTTTCATCAATAGGATTCTTCGAAGATGATTTTGATGACTTCAGTGGAGGTTATGGACCAGGACCTGGTTATGGTAGTGGAGGTGGTGGTGGAGGTGGCGGAATGAACCGCAGAGGTCCCATGGGAATGAGGCAGCAACAACAGAGAGGAAGAATGAACATGATGGGAGGAGATGGAGGAATGGGTGGTGGAATGGGAGGACGCATGGGAGGAGGAGGTATGGGTGGTGGAATGGGAGGAGGAGGAGGAATGGGTGGAGGAAACCGACAAAGAGGAGCCACCCCAGGAAGTCACTATGTCAGCCGGACTGGTCACTCTGTACACATGAGGGGGCTTCCTTTCCAGGCCCTAGAATCAGACATAGCAGAGGTAAGTGGTTCATCATTCCAACATAATAGAAATCAGTTTAGACATATATGTAGTCATATTCTGTTACACCTATCAGTTACATCACTGAAGAAGAAACAAAAAATATTGCAGATTATGTATTATGTAAGCTTTTAAATATTCTTTGTATCTAGTTCTTTGCTCCATTGACGCCAGTGAGGGTAGAGTTTGAGTTTGCTCCTAATGGTAGACCTACAGGGGAGGCTAATGTCGATTTCAAAACTCACTCAGATGCGGTTGAAGCTATGTCAAGACACAAAAAAAATATGCGTAAGTATCAGAACACTGATAATGAGTTGTATAGAATGATTCAAGTTTTGTTTGTTTGTTTGTTTTTTGGGGTTTTTATTGGCCCAATAATCTGTGTGAATTCATAAAGTTTCATAATGTATGGTACAAGCATAAACGTTTATAGATAAGCATATGCATCATAAATGTGGCAGAATTTAAGCATTAAAAATACAGAACTAATGAAGATTTGTTTGTTTCAGAACACAGATACATAGAGCTCTTTTTGAATTCGACCCCGGCTGGACGACAGAACTACGGACAAGGTGGAGGATTTAATGGAGGGGGTGGAAACATGGGGAACATGGGTGGAGGCTATGGTGATGGTGACGATTTTGATGATTCAGAGGATTTTGATGGTAGTTGTAATCTTCTTATTATGAAATTTAAAACTTGTTGATAGGGTATCCATTTATTTACCTTTAAGTGCATAATGTTTTTAACAATAATAAAGGGAAAGGAGAAAAGAAAATTTACAAGGCTGTTAACAGGAGAAAGAAATCAATTGCACATGGCACCTTTTGATTGTGGATATTTATCTTTTTAGTCTTTTGTTAAATCATGCATTTTTATTCTTTCAGGCGGCATGAACAATTTTGGAGGTGGAATGGGCAATATGGGAGGTGGCATGGGTAATATGGGCGGTGGTATGGGCAACATGGGTGGAGGTATGGGCAACATGGGTGGAAATATGGGAAATCCAAACTACACTGCATTCTGATAGACATTTTCAAAGTTTTGAAAGACTCTCTCTTTTGAATGAAGTTACTAGCCATATAGAGTGTTTGTTCTCCAGGATGTGACATTTATATGTGTTTTTTTATTGTTGTTTATGAATTATCTCCAGATCATGAATATCTCATTTTACATAGTGCATTGTTGTTCATTGTCATAATTTCAGTGAATATTATTTGCTGAGTTTACGTGTATATACATGTAAACTCGGAATAAAAGTGAAAAATATTTAAACCTTCTTGTGGTTTTCTTAGCGTGTGGGGTTTGTTTGTCTACAAACCTGTGATTTAGTTTTCTATGTTTTTACAGTAATTTCATAAAAGTTATTTTTTGTCAAAAATTGTACAATTTCTAGACTGCAATTAATCTTGCACACATGTAGGTCATGCCAACTACTTTTTGTAACTGATGGCCTGATGACACAATCTCTTTAATTTTAATTTACATTCAGACATCTCTTTGACATAATGAATAGGGGGACAGTTTTATAATTGAGTAGAAGGAATGCATCTGGTTTAGTTGCATTTACGAGTACACAAATTATTACACCTCTGAGTAAAAAGCATAAATTCGTCACAGGATTTAGCAATATATGGATTGAATTATATTGGATTTTAAAACTCATTTCTTATTAACTTTGTGATGCATGGCTTTACCCGTTTTAAAGGAATCTTGCTTACTGCTTGGCTTATTATTGGCTCCAGAAGCAACCAATCTACATATATTTGTGGTTGTCTTAGAAAGTGCACATGGGAAAATGACAGTACATGTATTTTTGAGACATACTTTTTATTCCTTTGATAAAATAATTCCTCATTGATAATGCTTAAAAAAGTTTTTGAGTTGTAAAGTTAAGATTACTCGAATTAGAAGCAAGAACGTAACACGTGGGGATTATTTCTGTGACACAGGGATTAATAGTATGTTTTGTTAAAACTGAATAGAATATGTGTAAAGGTGTTGGTTTATGGGGTGATATTTTATGTGAAAGCTTTTTATTTTTAGGTCACCTGAGTTTACTCAGGTGACCTATTGCTATCTGTTTTCATCCGTCGGCTTGCATCGTGCGTTAACATTTGAACATTTTCAGCTTCTCTGGAACCACTGAACCACTGGGTGCCTCTTCCAAAATTTTGAATTTCATGGCCCCAGGGTCAGGGGTTCTGGTGTTAGGGCAGTGCTCTGTTGAATATATAGTGAAAATGCATTATTTCTTTAAACATCTTCTTCTATGATCCAGGGTATTTAGCAAACAAACTGAATTCTTAGTTATGATGAGTAAGGGTGCCTCTTCCAAAACTGTGAATTTCATGGCCCCTGGGTCAGGGGTTCTGGTGTTAGGGTGGGGCTCTTATGATTACATAGTAAAAATGCTATAATTCTTTGAAAATCTTCTCCTTTTCTCCTGGGTATTAAGCCAATGAACTAAGAGTATGGTTTTGATGAGTAAGGGTGCCTCTTCCAAAATCCTGAATTTTATGGCCCCTGGGTCAGGGTTCTGGTGTTAGGGCAAGGCTCTGATGATTACATAGTGAGAATGGATTAATCCTCTGCTCTGCTTCTAGGTATTAAGTAAGCAAACGAAATGTAAAGTTATGATGAGCAGGCGTGAAATTGTGAATTTCATGGCCTCTGGTTTAAAACTTGAACCCAATTTAATTGTGGCAGATTTGTTACATTATACTCAGGTGACCTGTAAAGCCCGTGCGCCTCTTGTTTGTAATATGCGTAAATTACCCCTACGCATAAAATTTTCATGTTTACAGATACTAAAGATATATAAAAATGAAATAAAAAAGTTGGTAGAAGTAATAAATTATCTTTTGAATATACAGTTGCGAATGACACAACAATAACTTATTGGACACTTCACAGTTATTCAGATGTCCATCACCGCGCCGTGCAGCATCAAATGGTATCAGCACGTGGAAAGTTGAAGTGGCAGATATGCTTTGCATCAGTGTTAGTTTCTTATTTTGTTTTTGTTTGTTTTTTTTTAATGTGTGTGTGTTAAGTTCATACAATATAGATATATGTATAGTAAACTACCATAAATAGACAAAAAGAATACCCCCCTCCCCCCGATGTTTGACGTCAGGAATATTATGTATACACAGGAAATTTTAACTCTAGGCAGACTATAAATTCATGCTTATCTTGCATGAAACATTGGAAAATAATTCAAAATGTGCATGAGTTTAACTCAGGAATTTAACATAAAGGTAACTCTGCGAAGAGTTATTTTTGTGTTTGTAAGATTGCAAAGGTGCTGAAGCATTCCGTATTTTGAGATCATGTGAATAGGTTTGCAAAGTCATATGATCATTTAACGTCGAGCGACATGCAGACGTCATTAGCTGTTGCTGGCCTTCCTGTTAATCAAGCCATACGGTTTTATGAAAAATAATGAAATCTTAACGAATTTTACATGTTTATCATCGCTAATTTCAAAATGTGGGGTTGTTGAGGGTTAAAGGATTTACATACTTGATCTATTATAGGGAAGGAAATTCATAGATTTGATTAATGCTTAATTGTAGGAAATATTACAATGTCTGGTGATTTCAGCATTCAGGAAGGAAGCCTTATAATTTCTGTTTGAAATTGCTTCAGAAAAGGTATTTGATAATGCGGAATAAAACGGCTTATCGTATGTTATGTGATGAGAAAGAAAATGAAAGCGCTGTTCCAGTGTACATTCAACTGACTCTGGGTGCTTTGGGAAACATTTTGGCTGTAGTTTTACTGTGGTTGAGCCGCCATGAGCATAAATGGCAGTCCTTCTATGTCCTCTTCTCTGGTTTGGTAATGACGGACCTGATTCATAATTGTGTGTGCTATCCTCTGGTCCTTCAAAGGTATATTTCTCACTTTACTTGGTGTTTTCCAGAAGAAATATGTGATTTATTTTCCTTCATGGAGGCCTTTTTCCACCTTGCATCCGGCTTGACTATCGGAGTAATGACCGTTGATAGATATCTACATATGAAAAATAAACGTCAACGAATTTCCAGATTTAATTATGTTACCCTGTTTTGTAGCCTTCTAATTATATCAGGAGTAATTTCAAGTCTACAGCTTATAGGAGTAGGTAACAGTCAATTGTTTTACCCTGGATCTTGGTGTTTTCTTGATTTTACGAGTAGATCTGTGGGTAATAAAATTAACGCTTTTATTTATTCTTTAACTGGAATTATCATTATGTTGGTGACTATTGTAATTGGACTAATAACCATTTTAATGACGTGTAGAAGCAACGAGCATCAAGCATTACTACTCGATAATCAACTTGTGAGTGGTATATATGACAGTCACGTGACCAAGTTTCTTGTCATTTCGATGTTTACATTCGTCCTCTTGTGGGGACCTCTATTGGTTTGTATAGATATTTTCTGCTAATTTTTTATCTAGAATTTTTATTTCTTGTAGGAAATATACATTGATTTATGCTCATTTTTTTAACCTTAAAAACATTTCATAAAATTTTTGGCAGATTGACATCTTACTACATGCAACGGACCTGACAACAAGCAACAATAGAAAAGAACTATGGCTTGTTCGGTTGATGTACTTGAATACACAGATAAATCCCTGGCTCTACGTAATTCTGCGGAGAGAGAGTGTACGCAGATTTTTCGTGTTGAGTTTGAGGTGTAGAAGACAGTGCTGTTCTGGAGATGAAGGGAATGAACAATATAATGAGGAGGTTCACAACTTTGTTAGGGATGATGATGATGATGACGAAGGTTTCAGCAGCTCTTAATCTTCAATCAAATTTTTGTTCTTCCATAATAGGGATATTTACATGACTTTGGTTCTCATCTAAGCTGTTAGTAGTGTTATACTTTTTAAAAATGAGAATTTAAATAAAATAAAAACAGCGTAACCTATAAAATCACATTTTTTTAAAAGGTGAAACTTAGAATCGCTAATTATGAATGTATAATAATTATAAATATTTAATATTATAAATTTTAGAAAAGCTAATTATGATTATTCAAATTTTTTTTTACTATGTTACTTGGAGAATATTTTCCTTTTTTCATATACATTGATTTATAATTTAAGACCACCTCCCTCTATCCATGTATCTTTCCCTGAGCTATTATGATGCTAACTAATAGTGCGTTCTACAAAACAACTCGGTTTTAGGAACATTAGGTTAGCAGAAGCATTCTGGATGGAGCAAATATTTTCCATAAGCTGACTGTGTGGGGCGTGGGTCCATGAGAGTTGAGTACACTTAATGAATTCCTGACAATGATTTTCAGAGTATTGTGGTCCTCCGCTTTTGGGGTCTTACAGGTTGGGTGCAATGATCTATGGTATATTGTAACTGTCTTGTCTGTCCATCATGCTAAAAATGTTTTGATTCCTTTGGGGGGGGGGGGACATAAATGGTAAATAAACACTCGCCTATCCATTGCCTAGCCGGTACAAACCTTCAATACATGTATACTAGTACTATGATTTTTCACCTTGACCTTTGACATACTTTTCAAATAATATAACCTTGGCCGAAACTTTTGCACCTAAAGAGGAAGGCCTTGTATATTTTACAAGTGCATTACCTGTGACAAGACCTTTCTGAATGTACTGTGATTCATGACTTTGACCTTCTTTTTCAAAAAATTTTAAATTGGCCATAACTTTTGCACTAGAAGAAATAGGGCTTTATTATTTCTTTACATGTGCATTACCTGTTACAAGACCCTTCTGGTTGTACATGTACTATGTTTTTGACTTCGTGACTTAAACCTCAAGTTTGCAAATGTGAAAATGTTTTGATCAAGGTGAAAGTTTCTGTGATAGACTGACAGAGGGACAGACAGACAGACGAATAAGATTTAATTTCCCTGCGCTTTCGTAAAATCAGAGAGAGAGAGAGAGCTAGCATTGGAACTTCTCACTCACAAGCAGACCCTTAGAGTGGTAGATGAGTTCTCGAAGATAAAGATTACATGTAAATTCCTGTCTTCAGTCTTTGCACGACTGTAAAAGTAAAATTATATAAATTTGAAAAAATCGGAAATATTTTCATTCGTTTTAATGTGTTTTATTCAAATACACAGCAAGACAAGCGACCTTAGATATTTCCCGGAAGGAAGCAAAAGGTTCATCAAGTGAAATTTAAAATAATCTTTGAAAAGTTTCAGGAAGTAGAACTTTGATCATATATATTTGTTTTTTATTATATCTGTTAGTATGTGATAAAAATTAGTAATTAACGATGTCTAGAACTTGCACTTTTAATTCAGGTGTCGTGTACAATAAAAAAACCTCGAATTTATGTGTAAAATTCAACCAAGTTTTAACAGTGACAACATATATATTGTTTCAATATGCATATTTTACCCTTTTATTACGTTTATTGACTTCGTAAGGACCCTCTACACACCAAAGGAAAAAGATTTTGGGTATTGGGAAAATAATAGTGTGTAAAGGTGTAAAAATTGAGCTTATCTATCACTTTTTCAACATGGGTACCTTGCAAGTACTGATGAACAGAAATCGCTGTTGTTTATTAAACAGGCAAAATACCTGCAAATGAAGTGTTCAATCAATCATCTTGGCTTATTAGAATATTATGGATGTGTGATTTGATCACAAATTATGTAATAAACTGAACATTTTAATTTATTTTATTCTAGATTAAAGGACAGATTAGTACTCTATCTGCATAAAAATATCACAAATCAAAACTCTTTTGTGCGCAGTGTACAGAGGGCTCTTAAAACTATTATTTTGAATAAAATTGATCTTTGTGAAAAGCCAACTTTTAAAGTAAATAATTCTTTTTAGCTCACCTGAGCCAAAGGCTCAAGTGAGCTTTTCTGATCAAAATTTGTACGTTGTCTGTCGTCGTTGTATACTTTTCACATTTTTATCTTCTTCTCCACAACCATTGAGCTCAATTCAACCAAACTTGGCACAGGATATCCTTGGGTAAAGAGGATTCAAGTTTGTTCAAATAAACGACCACACCCTCTTCCAAGGAGAGATAATTAAGAAATAGTCAAAATTGGGTAGGGTAGTTAAAAAATCTTCTCAAAAAGGGCCAGAAAAAAGATGGAACTTATGTGAGAGCTTTCTGCGGGAAGTGTAGATTCAAGTTTGTTGAAATCATGACCCCCGGGGTAAGGGTAGGGCCACTATGGGCAATCAAAGTTTTACATAGGAATACATAGGGAAAATCTTGAAATTTTTTCTTATCGCTAACTGCAAAGTCATGATCACTCATATTTGCATGGAAGCATCCTCAGGTAGTGTAGATTCAAATTTGGTCAAATTATGACTCCAGGGGATAAGGTCGGGCCATGATGGGCGATCAAATTTTAATAGGAAGATCTTCTTTTAGAGAGTAGCATTTAACCATGAATAGTCATATTTATGTGGAAGCATCATCAGATTCAAGTTTTGTTCGAATCATGTCACATGGGGTTAGGGTGGGGCACAATATATTATCTTAATTTTACATAGGAATATAGAAGGAAAAAAATCTGCTGATGAAGAACAGAGGGGCCATAGTAACCCAGTTGAGCATTGTGGTCCAGGATCTCTTGTTTTGCAAATAAAATCGAAAGTCTAACAAATACAATCTGTTCCGAAGACTTTTATGTAGCATTTCAGAGTACTGACATGATTGCCAGATTTGTGCAGGAGCAGTTTTTGCTGGAAAATTGACAATTTTTGTGTTTGTGCGCATGTGTGGACTCTGTTCGTGTCAAATTCTTATTTCTGTTGACTCCATTTCGGTGGTTCTGGAGGTGTTTTACTGCTGGGACTATGCCTTAGGTTACTAAGTTTTATGACAAACAGATGACTTATGGCCTGTTCACAGATTTGTAGTTTTCTGAGATCAAGTACCATCAGTGAGGTATATTTCTGTCTGGTAGTGTGAAGTCACAGATTTAATCTGAGGCGTTGGTAAGCAAGGAGCAGGTCGCCTCCTCTCGATAGGGATTGAAGGGGGGGGGGGGTCCGAGGGAGCATTTTTGCGAACTCGAAGACATCTACGATTGTCAATTGACCAGTGAAAATAATATTATAAACATATTTTCAGTTTATATCATGATATGAAGACCACTTAAGAAAATTGAGAACTCTTAACTTATTCTTTTACTCTGCTTAGAAAATTTGGAAACTCCGTACTGAATAATCCAATTACGAACACTACGTTTAATTTCCTACTAACCAAAAATATTTTGAGTAATTAATTTTGTAAAATTGTAAACGTTGGATAGGTATAAATGTGCGGATTGCTAAGAATGCTTTTTTGGCATTTGCAACAAAATAAAATTAATAGATAAGATTTATTATCAACTTTTCTTCAAAATTTTCAACCAAATTTTTATCCCTGATAAAATGATGTGTAAGCTACAGCCTTTTTGCCTATATGGAATATACACCACTGACCATTATCTTCACCTATTTCTTTATGTAGGTATTTGACTGCTTCAACTATGCCCTGGGTTATGTAACGTTAGGTGTAACGTGTTTGACTGCACAGCAACCATGCCCTGGGTTATGTAACGTTAAGTGTAACGTGTTTGACTGCACAGCAACCATGCCCTGGGCTATGTAACGTTAGGTGTAACGTGTTTGACTGCACAGTAACCATGTCCTCGGTTATGTAACGCTAGGTGTAACGTGTTTAACTGCACAGCAACCATGCCTTGGGCTATGTAGCTGATTTACTGCTGTGATCATGCGGTTATGTAGGCGTTTTACTGCTGCGACCATGCCGTGGGTTATGCTAGTATTCGACTGAGCACTTCAATCATGCCCTTTGTGATATAGGTGTTTTAATGCTAGGACCAGCCCTGCGTTATGTGTTTTATTGTTGGACAATACCCTGGATTGCGTTCAAGATCGTAGCAGCTATAATGCTTGCTATGGCTAGACGAACGTATCGTTCAGGATCGTAGTGGCTACCAGGGAAGGGGTTATTGAAATGAGTAATTGTAATATACCGTATTCAAATACATTTTTTCAAAGTAATTGAGAAATTATTTGTAATTCAGTTTGCTTTCAATTACAAGTAACTGAACGTATTTAAATACATTCCAAAAATGTCATGTATTTTTCAATTACATTTCAATTACTTTATTTTTAGTTAAATATTAAAAAAGGTGTTTTGATTATGATGCATACCAGTACTGTTTGACATGAGCTTATGTTTAATCAATGATTAAATGCCTAATAGCGTTAATACAGCATAAACACACTACCCAGGGCAATAGGAAAGGTCAAATTTAATAGCGTTAATACAGCATAAACACACTGCCCAGGGCAATAGGAAAGGTCAAGTTTAATAATATTGCTGCTTCAAAATATTCATGTATTTGTTCTTCAAGTTTTGGAAATAAAACTTATTAAAGTAATTGATATGTATTTAATTACATTCTTCAAAGTAATTGAGAGTAATTAATTACATTTGTTAAAATCAATGAAATTGTACTTGCAAGTAATTGACAAATTTATCAATGTATTTGAAAGTATTAAATTACATTTTCAAGTAATTGACCCCAACCCTGGCGGCTACGATCTTGAAATTTGGTTCCCCAACCCTCAAATGGATAATGAAATTAAAAGAAATAATAATAAAATCTCAACAAGAAATTGCATAACAAAGTTTATTTTGATGAATTAAAAATTATACCGAGAACACATATACAGGTAATGTAGTAAAAAAAAAAAAATTACAATTGCATTACTCATCATGCTTTTCAGAAAGGGAAAAAAACTTTAGAAAACCTACGAAAGAAGACAATTTACAATCGTATCACAT